ATCACTGCCTTAGCACCACCTCAGATTTCAGGCATTAGATTCTCATAGGAGCACAAATCCCTGGTGCCAAAAAGGTTGGGGGCTGCTGCTTTACTAGACAGTCCACCTCCAAGCCACAGATGCTGGTTTATTGGGTATATAATCCTTGGTTTACACTGCAAGTTCTCTCGGATGTGTGAAGATATTATTTTATGGTCTTTTGGCTACCATGAACTGTTGAGATCTGAGCTGTACTATTGGCCTTAATAGTAATCTTTTTAAAGTGATATGGCTTTTCTTTTCCTCTGGTTCCTTTCAAGATCACCTCTGTCTTCAGTGTTTTTCACTTTTCATTGTGATAATTCAAGGCATGGATTTGCTCTTATCTATTCTACATGAGTATCACCATTCTTCCTGAATTGGAATATTCTGGATGAACAATCTTTCATCCTTGAAATTCTCAGCTACCATCTCTTCAAGTGCTGCTTTCTTCTATTCTCTCTTTTCTTTGCTTCTGGAAACCTAAATTAGGCTTATGTTAAGATTTCTCACTCTACAAGTTTCTTAACTTTTCTTACATATTTACCGTTTTGTTAGTTTATGTTTTGTCTTCAGACAACATGCATTGAGCAGTCCCTATAATTGAAATGTGATAATCAGATTTCATTTTGTAGTATCTTCCCAATGAAAGTTATAAGGGTCTCTGTTTCTTAATTGTAAAAATAACAGTACTTAGAAAACCTATGTAATGTTTGTAAAATAAATTTAATTAAAATTCTTAGCATGGCAGCTACACTTGCACATTCTTGCAGTGAGCCAGTGACTTGCTGTAATTCATTACAGGCAAATACAACTTCCATACTAAAGTGCTCTGAAATCTTTCTTCCTTTTTTGCTTTGTAAAATACAAAGTGTAGGAAAATAAGAAAACTCAGAGAACTCTTCTGGCCAAACTGAGTTAATAGTTGCCAAAATCCAGCCTACACCACTCGGGCCTCATTTCCTTCATTAATCTGTTATTTACCAGTGAAGTATTTTACCAGTTTAAGCCCTAAGTGAAATCAAGAATTTCCATAGCCAAAACGAGCACTTTAAAATTCAAGACCAGAAGGAAAAACTGAAAGTTTCTTTTATGTTAAAACATTCAAATCTCGCTTATTCATCTACTGTTTCTCCAGGAAGAAATGTTAGAACCAGAAAAGGAAAAACAATGGGAGAGTGTCATTTTAAAACACCTAAAACAGGCCAGTCCAGAGAAAATATCACCTCTTCTCGAAGGAGGAATCTCTCCAAAGTTATTGCTTTCTTTTCCACCAGGAAGTTTTGCTAAGAAGGCTGGATCATCTGGCCATTTCTTTTATTCTTCTGAAATACTTTTTTGAAAGACGGCTCAAAGAGATATTTAAATTTATTCTCATCCAATAGTCAAAATATCTACTGCTGACCATGATACAGGACAACTGAATATTAAAGCTGGAAAGAACCCCCTGATTATCTTGACACCAAGACAATCCTGCATGAGGAAGCTTGGAAGTTAGAAGACTTGCTTAGCACAAACAGCTAGCAGCAAACCCAGGATGCAAATCCAGGCCTGCAGGTCCCATTTTTTTTATTCATTATAATAAAGACTTATTTTTATAAAATAATCCATCCACTTTTGCTTTTGCTAGTGTAACAGATTTTAGAGAATCTGGGAAATGGTAAAAGAATGCTTTAACCAGAAAAATTTTATACCAGTAATAAAATAAATATGGATCATAGTAGTTTAATAACAAACTGAATATTCATTGCAGTAAAAACACATTTTCTCTATTCAATTTTTAAGAAAATCAAGGCCTAGAAAGTCTATATAGACAAATCAGAATTTTTAAAATAGTAAAATCATGAGCACTTGTCAGGTAAACTGGAAGGAAACAGGAAATAAACAACCCATAGTCTACTGAAAATAGTCTACTATATTCAGTTGAAAGGGAATTAATAAATAATATATAATTAAGAAGTTGTGTTTGAAGATTTGCTATGGTTCATGCCTGCCAGACAACCCCAAAAGGAAACGAACTTGAAACTCAAAAGAACTGAAAGTAAAGAAAACAAGTGAGTGGGGAATATCAAAAACAGGTCATTGGGATCCTAGGACCTGAGAGACAGTGAGAATGACAGAAAAGCCACAACGCTGCAAATAAAAAAGCTGTAATGAGTGGAGAACACTGATGACACTGACAAGGGGTCAGAAAGGTCACCATCAAACAATGTGGGGAATGTCTATTTACAGAAAAATATTTTTGGTCCTAAATATATTTATATTATTTCAGGCTTTTAAAAATTCAAATGGCTTTTACTTTAGATTTTTGCCTTCTACCCTCTCCTAAGAACGGCTAACAAGAGCTAATTCCAAACATTTACTGCACTGAGAAGGAAATGGAGCAAAGGCACAAGCGAGAACTTGTGGTTTAAAATAGTTGGAACAAGGGACAGCAGGGAAGTTCCTGTTACGGTTTTATGCTGATCTAAATGCTAGCCAATCTTTAGTATGAAAGAAGTTCTTATAAATACTGTAAAAGGAAAAAAAACAGGCAATAGATACAAATATGTATTTTACAAAAGAAACACAAATGGATAATAAAATTGCTTGATGCATCACTGGTTATTAAAGAAATCCAAAAGATGAAATAAGATGGGGTTTTTAACCCATTATATTGATAAATATTAAAAGGTTAACATACTTAGTAATATTGGTGAGAATGTGGCAAAACAAGAAATTGCTGACACTACTGGAGAACAGTTTGCAAATTCATACAAAAGTATAAAATGTATGTAGCATTTGATCTAGGAATGGGTTAATTTTAGGCATTTACCATAACAGAATTAACCAGAAATTAGAAAATAAACTATACTGGCTGTAAGATAATAGAAAATATAAATTGGTCTCTGCCCCCAGTTCTAAACACAGAGCTCCTGAAACCCTTGTAATTTCCTGGGTGACAGAAGTGTCTTTAGTTCTAATGAGGTGACTCTGGGTGTGTTCCTGGATGAAGGCTGGTCACCAGAAAGATCCAGCCATGATTAGAAGCTTGGAATTTTCAGCCCCATTCCCCATTCTCTTGAGAAGGGGAAAAGGCTGAAGATGTACATTATGAAGCCTCCACAAAAACCCGTGTCCGGGGTTAGAAGAGCTTCCTGGCAGGCAGAGCATGTGGAGGTGGTGGAGAGTGACACACCCAGAGAGGGCATGGAAGCTTCACGCCCCTTCCCATATATCCTGCCCTAAGCATCCCTTCCATCTGGCTGGTCATCTGTATCCTTTATCATATCCTTTAACTAACTGGTAAATGTAAGTTTTATGAACCATTCTAGCAAATTAATCGAACTTAAGGAGAAGGTCATGAGAATCTCACATATATTGCCAAATGGTCTGAAGAACCAGTGACTACCTGGACTTGCAGTTGGCATCTGAAATGGGGGTGGGAGTGGGGGAGGGAGGCAATTTTGTGCGACTGAGCCCTTAACCTGTGGGTTCTGATGTTATCTCTAGGTAGTGTCAGAATTGAGTTAAATTGCTTGATGGCTGAAATCTCCTACACCTGGTGACCAGAAGTGTTGGAAGTGGAGTGTCCTGGGTGAAAGAAAAGGAGAAACACACAGGAAGACTGAGGTTTCCCAATACACAGGTCCATCTATACAATGAAATACTGTGTAGCCATTAAAACGATGTTGATTACTCACTGATCGAGAATTGCATATTATTCCGAACATAAAAACATACATATAGTACGATCACATATATGTAACATTATGTGTAGACATAAAAAGCTTGGAAATTCAGTAAAATGTTAAGATGATGCTATCTGTGATTTTTACTTTCTTCTTTTGTATATTTGTTAGGACTGTTTAAATGTTAAACAAAGAGTAAGTTTCATTTATTACAGTCAGAAATAAGCAACGAAGATGACTGTTTAAATGTGTATGAAACTATCTTTCTTATATATTTCATCCTTCTTGGAGGATAAAACAAGTGCTATTAGCTAACAAATGATCTGGCAGAACTCTGTACCAACTAATTAGTACTTTTTCTAAGGTCCGTCTCTGCTCAGAATGGATTCAAAACCACCACGGTTAAATAAAATAAAAATGGCACACAGAATCTCTATTATATGCATAGGAAGACAGGGGATTAAACTCCTAAATAATCCACAATATTTTCTCCCTCATTAATTTAATTTACAGAATAATGAGACTGTTGCAAAGATATCACTGAGTTGCACATCAAATCTCTATGAGCTGCAGCGATGTGGTGTCAGAAAACAGCTGATAATTATAGAAATTTAGACAGTTTTTTTTTTAAGGCATCTTTGAATAAGCAGACTGGAAACGATGAAAATTTTCTGAAAGCGACATTTCTCTGGTGTAACTGGTTTTTGGAGTTACCTTAAGAAAAAGCTGGTTTTAGGTAACTCTACTCACTTAAATTTCAGAGACTTTTTTTCAGCCAGGAGCCTACAGATAAATCTCTGCTACTGTGGGTGCTTTGTAAGTTCATTCTAAATCCTTTTCCTGTCTGGGCCAGCTCCTTACAGCTCCTGTTTATATGACAGACTGTTCATATAAGCAGCGTCTAGAATTATAAGCACAGTTCCTGCCATCTTTCCCATTTTCTAAATCAAATGTAGTAAAAGAAGATATTTTTTCCTAGAGCAGACTTCTTTTTCTGATCTATAATAGAAATCAATCATTCTCTTATCAGTGGCAACCTGTCATGCTAATTACATTGAGAGATTTACCATCAAAAATAAAATTGAATTTCATGGGTTTTATTTGATCTCATTATGTAAGAAGTTACTCCAAAATTTATAAATGAAGCTGGAAAAGACACGGTACTCAATTTTTACTACATGTGCATGTGTGTGTAGGTACGTGTATAGACACACACACAAATCTATAAAATATAGGCAGCTATGGTATGAAAGGTTATCATACATAGTTAAATCACAAAAATGTCATTTTCCAAAATAACAGAATGCAAACCTTTAGCTGTTCATCCACGACTCTTGTAACTTCTCCGGCCATTGATTCCAGGGTCTCCTGAATTGGACTGGATAGTGAGCCGCCGGCTCCTGCCCAAGACGCACCACCAACATGGTATAAATTTGGTAACAACTGTAAGAAAAATAAAAGACGCCTCTCCATAATTAAAGAAATATTTAAATAAGCACCAAAGTCCTAGCAGAGTTAGTAAAAAGGGTGGAGAAATATTATTACAGATGATCTATTCTTGACCAAAGTTCCTTTACACAGATTAGTAAACTAAGGTCCAGCTTTGAAACCATAGGAATGCTGTATTACACCTTTGTGTCTTAATGTCCTCATCTAGGGCATGAAAGTATCTGACTTTTGCCAAGGTTCCTCCCACTCAAAACATTCATGGAGTGTGTGTTTCTAGCCAGGACCAGATCCCAGTTAGTCCTTTCTCTAGCAAGGCATACTTTGGGAACCAAATTCTAATTTAGAGAAACTTCTTTTTAGAGGTGACAGATGGGAGTGTCATGAGATCAGCTTGCAAACAGAATAACATTAAATGGGTTTTACTCAGTTAAAGTACAACTATCTCTCAGTTACTAGGGACCTGACTACGTCCTTTGTAAATCACATCAGCCCTCCGCCTTTTAGTCTACATTTGATTACTGGTAATTAGTACAGGTACGGAGAGGAGGCAAAGATTAATTCGGTTCACTTTGCCACTTGTTAGCAAACTTGGAACTGGGTAGAAAGGTATACAAAGTTGGAACTAGTTTCTAAAACTGAATTTAAAAAACATTTTTATTATATAAGATGCTCACGTAGCCCAAAGTGAAACTCACTGTTTTAGAGTTCTTAGCATCACGCATGAGCCTTTCTGCCAATTTTAAATCTTCCTGGACAGCATCTCCCCCACAGTTTCGCAAGGAGTTGAGATGATCTTGTACTTTCACACATATTCTGTCAATCATCTGCTCCACACCATGAAAATGACAGCAAGTGTTCCGACGAGCACAGCCGATATTCAGATAGAAGGAAACACAGAATGAATGAGTACGAAAACTTCTAACTAAAATCATTGAGAAGGCAGCTTATAGCCCATTATTAATTTATCTATTCATATAAAAAACCTTTGGCAACATTAACTCCAGAAAAGCACTGAAGAAATTTTGGTCCCCTTTCCTGCCTTAGGAAATATAGCACGCAGAACAAAAGTGAACCCTTCTTGATGACTCAGAATCTCGTAGCTACTCAGTGACATTTTGCTAAATAGTAACTGTCCTTCATTAATTTTTATTGCCTACCTTCTAAGTGTCAAACAGAATGCTAGGTACTAGAGGAGACACAGACATAAAATGTGCCATTCTGAGGCTGTAGAGATGACTACGAAATGATGCCCATAGCCAGTTAGTCTCAGTATCTTGGAAATCAGAACATCCCTGGAAATTAATATGTTTTTCTAAATTAATTCAATTATATCAGGTAGTTTTCAATATATTAAGAGCCACTAAAAAAGGGGGGGGCAAGTTAAGGTTTTATTATAGTAACATAGGTAATAATAAAGTTAATAACATTTCGTTTCTATTCCATTAAGCTACCTCTCCCTGGTTAATTACACATGAATCATTTTAAGTTGTTCCATGGATTTAAACATAAAACCCAAAGGGAAGTGGTAGATCACTACTGGAGACAAAAATTAGTACAGAAAAGTATTATGCTTTTATATTTGTATTCACAGAGAGAAGCAGGAAGAAAGCTAAGAAGTCTAAAGAAAAAGATAACCACAGTTTAAAAAGTTTCTCCAACATTTTGATCAGAGCTGCAAGTTATCTATTTCATGTTCTTAAGAAATTATTAGTTCGCCAGAGACCTTATATATCAAGAGTCCCATCCCACCTGATCACTTTGGCAGAGATGATAGTCTAACGATATTTCTTATTTAAATTCACATGTGTCTACTTATTTTGAATTATCTGATATAATTATAGGAAGCCAGAGTCAGCCCTCCTTCCCCCATAAATTCTACAAAAATAGAAACTACTACACTGCTCAGAAGAGTTGCACTTTCACTACAAAGCCCATGTCTGCTTGCTGCTGTATCACCACCTCTCTTGCCTTTGTCTTTTATGAAATTAGGCTCATAACACTTACCTTATAATCTCCTAGTGTGTTATAAAAACAATCCAGTAAAATAACACCACTCAAAGTGCCTACTCTCTTGACAAAAGGCCAGTAATGCTAATGTTAATGTATATGCAGAGCAGCTCTTATTACTATAAAATGCATTGAGGCTACATAAGTGAACTAGATGGAGCTCCTCACAGGAAAGAGAAGTTATATGAATAAGCCTTCTCATACCGTATTCTCCCTCTCACTGCAATCCAAGCTCCTGGGCAGGGATCATGTCTTACCTTTCTGCATTTACTCAATGCCCTGCAGAGACCTAACTCTATGTTTTTTCAAATCTTCTTAATTGATATAAATTCTAACTCATCTAACTATTGTATTGATCTGTGCTTCCCAAAGCAAAAATGGTCATCAATAATTCATATCTTACCAAGAATGACTATCTAATTTCAAGAGGAAAAAAAAATTAACAACATACTAGGAAAGAAACTGATATACATCTGAGGACACAAAAGACTCATTTGAGAGGTGTGTAGATGTGGCATTATAAACTTATCATCTTTAATAATCATGAGAGACCGAGAAGCCCCCTGCAATGTGTGCCATGAAGCATTCACCAAGAAGAGGGGTCTTAAAAGAACTTTGAGTGATCTTTAAATGAAACTTTCAAAAATCATATCCAAATGAAACAAAAATCTAGTTCTTCAAGTAAGACAGAAAATACCACAAATCTCAAAGATTCTTCTGAACATGCACTTGCTAAAGGTTAGCACAGCCCAAGAGATCACATTCAGACTTTACAACTAAAGAGCTCGAGGCCCAGAAAAGTTAAACTATTTAAGAATGATTACACAGAAGGCAAGTGAAATTTCTGAAAAAAGGAAATCAAGGGCTTTGGCTATCTGTTAATAATTCAAGCCCCTAAGTTACCCAAATGTGAAAAATAAAGGAAATTGCAATCTGAAAGACTGTCATCTCTTGGGTTATCCCATCAGGAGACCTCAGGGCGGATGACTGCTCTTTGCTCTTTGGTTTAACCTCCCTAATCATTTGGTGCCCTGGTTTTCTAAAGCAACCCAGAAAAGTTGTTAACTGCTATAGTTTGAGAAGCCCACTTCCCTCCAAGGAAATGTGCTCTGTCATTCCTAGACATGGTCTTCTTTATTTTGAGTCCTAACCTGTCTTCTCACATCCTTCCTGCAGGTCTGTGACTTCCCCTGAGAACTCCCTGAACAATCGCCAGCTCTTGTCCATGTGTTGGTCTTGCACAGGTTGGAACATAGCTATCTTTTCTTCTGTAATCTTCTTTTCTTCAGGCTTAACATTCCCAGATCTTTTTACCATTCCTGTGATACAGTTCTGTGGTCCCTGCACCTTCCCCCACCCCAGGTTACTTCTCTGAATGCTCTCTTCCATCTATGATCCTCATGAAATACACCCCCCCTGATAAAACAGACTAACTCCGGAGGAGTGGACTGGTGGGCTGAACAGGGCTATCACATTTCTTACCGCAGAAAGTACACTTCTATTAATGGGTACAAGTCAAATTGGCTTCTTCGGCAACTAAATCACACCCCAACTCATCATATTACACTTGCTAATGACAACTTAGGCTTTTTTGAATATAATGGGCTGTAGAACCCAAGAGCGCAATTCAGAACTATTAGCAACAAATGCAGTCTTTGGTTTCTCTTGTTACAATGATCTTCGGTTCCAGCAAATAGTTTATTTGTGGAAAACTTTATCTTCCTCCATGTCTATTTCTTTATTCAATTCAAGAGAAATACATTGAACACCTAGCATTGCATGGGATATAGTCCTGAATAAGACACACCCCTTGCCACCAAGCAACTTAAAAACGTAGAAGAGGAAAGAAATAGTCAAAATTAAGAGTAACACAAGATTTAAAGTGCTATATAATCTAATAGCCACAAGAACATGCACATTTTATTTTGTTCACTGCCAAAGTTCCATAGCCTACAATAGTGCCTGCCATATGATGGACCATTTTGTAAGTGTTTATTCAATGAATAAATGAATGATAGAAAGTTCTAAAAGATTTCAGCCAAGGAGAGATCACATCTAGTTGAGACTGAAGGTAGCTTTTGAACTGGGTCCTGAAAGATTTCAATGGATTGAAAAAAGGGATCTTTAAGCAAAAGAATGAACATAAGCAGTGGCACATGCAGATACTTGTGACTTCTATTTCCTGATTAGGGACAGAGGAACCTGGTTGTGAGCAATCAGATTGGAATGTTAGGTTAAGGCAAGATGGTGGGAGACTCAGACACAAACCACAGAGTCTGCTCAGGGTACAAGGCACAGGGTGTGTGTTCCCAGCTCCTCCTACAGCTGTAAGGGCCTAAAAGTCCCCTCCCCCATAACACTCATTGTGACTCAACTTCTCTGACTGATACAAAGGAGACACATAAGATGGATAAACTAGTTCTTGTCATAGTGGTAAAAGAAGAGGTAGGAAGGAGTTAACAAGCAACCTTAGTAAGAGGGCTGGCAGCAGAAATGGAAAGAACAGAACAGCTGCAAAAGATACTTCGATGGTAAATGGGGACGACATGACAACCACTGGATAAGGAAAGCAGATGAGTCGTCCAAGACAACTCCACAGGTTCACGGTGAATGACGATGTCACTGAGAAAAATGACCGAATCAGGAGTTCCAGGGGATTAGTTTGGTCTTAGTGACCCTTACATCTCAGGGGGCCATCTGGGTGTAGATGCTGAACAGGTAGTTGAAAAGACGGGACTTTCTGGAAAAAAAAAGTTACCGAGGGGAGAGACCCAGGAGTCATCCACAGCTGAGAGAGTTAAATTGGTAGAAGTAGATGAAATAGCCAAAGGAAAAAAGCACCAAGTGCAAAACTTAGAAAAATGGCTGCATTTGGAAGATGAGGGAGAAAGAGTTGTGTAGAAAAGAGACAGATGAGACAAAGGGACAGTGGAAAGATATTCAGAATGGCGCATTGTAAAGTGAACCGAGGAGTCTTAAGGAAGATGCGGTGGTTTATAATAATGATGATGAATCATGATAATAAAATAATAGCAGCAACGAACATTAATGTTTACTGTTGAGGAGTCAAGTTTGCATGCATTATTTCATTTAACCCTCATAGCACCTCTCAGTCATCTCCATTTTACAGATGAAGAAATCAAGGCTTAAGAGGTCAGTAAATTCACAGGGACAGGGAACAGCAGAGACTGTACTTAAATCTGGTCATCTGACCCGAGAGCCCAAGTTCCTAACTTCTACACTATACTGCCCTCTCCTTTCCTAGGAAGAAGAAGAGGGAGAATGGCCTCTGGACCTGGTGACCAGGAGACCAAAGAGAGCCATTTCAGTAGACAGATGGGGCAGAGGTCACATTTAGAAAGATTACAAAATTGAGAGGGTGGCAAAAAAGTCATGAAAGCGAGCATAAAAATCTGCACGTGAAAGGAAGGAAAGAGAAAATGCTGAGTAAACAGCTCTAGGGAATAAAATTGTCTTTTTTTTTTTAAAGGGTAAGAAGACTTCAAAGCAGATAGGCTGGCAAACTACAAGCCACTCTGGGCCCATTTTTACAAATAAAGTTTTGTTGGAACAGCCACACTCATTCAGATACACACTGTCTATAGCTGCTTCAGCTACAAACTCACAGTTGAGTAGTTGCAACAGAGACCACACTGGCTGCAAAGCCTAAAGTATTTACTATTGTTTTTTTACAGAAAGAGTTTGCTTACACTTGATTAAAAGGGCTTTAAGATGGAAAAGAAGAGATCAAAAGCAGAGATGGAGTGTTGAATCTTACAAAGGTCTTTCCTAAATCAAGAAATAAGACAGACAAATAAATATATGAACAGTCATGAGATTCAATGTTTCATTAAAAGCTATTTTAATCCTTTTGGAGTCACCTGGGATGAGGACTGGCTAGGTGGTTGACAAGGACATTAGTAATGGAGGGTTTATTCTTTTCGTATTCAGATTTCTGGGAACTTTAATAAGAAGTTTCAATAAAAAGGAGATAAAATTCTCCTTAAGCGACTGAAACTATTAAACTGTAAAAACTGCTAATCATAATATCCTGAGAAATCCCCAAAGTGAAAAGGTGGCACTATACCTACTACATAATGACTTAATTCAGAATGGCGCCACCCATGCAGAATTAAACATCCGCCTCCTGTGTATAATTTCCTCCTGATTAAGAAGACGTAACATGCTTTTAAGAAACAGCATTAAAGGTTGCTGCAGTAATTTTGGGGGGATGGGCAAAATTCCCTATGAATGAGGAAAAAAGTTGGAAGGAAATAGTACTAAGAAAAGCTTGCATTATGGGAACTCATAAAGGAACCCAAGGCAAAAGTTCAACATAAGATTTTAGCACTCTCACTGCTTTTAATGTTAAACACTAAAACCAGGAAATAACAGGAAACCGTAAAGCACTAAGCTAATATTAGTCCCTTGCAGGACAAAAAAATTAAAATTTTAAGGCACTGATACGGTCAAAACCATGTTTTCTTTCTCAAAACTCCCTGTTACTTCACTAGTATTCATAATTATTTTTCCCAGCACCTATTGCTTTCTGTTTATATAAATAACACATGTTGACTATATTGTCTTCAAATATTGTGAAGTAAAACTGCATCACCTGCACAGATATGCATTTTGATGTGCACCCTTTCACAAATCTCTATGCATGTCCACATGGTCATCTGTGTAATTTTACCTACTTGGAATATTACATATGATGCTTTTATTATGAACACTTTTAATTCTCTTAAGAAAAAACAAAAAAAAAAAATTAAAATGGCATCTGCCCAAGGTGAGAAAATAGTGCAAAGCACACAAGATGGTCTCAAATTACTTTCCGTACCAGTCATTTCCTTTCAATGTGATGAAATAAACACTTATGACTTTCTGCTTTTTTATTTCTTTGGTGGCTTCCATTTCCAATTTAAATAGCAGAGTTTTTATATTTTTGATGCATAAATTATAGAAAATAGCAGTTGATTGAATGAAATAAAAACTTAAAATTTAGCATATTTACACTCACCTTTCTCCCTCTTCATCCCTATTTTACTTAGTTCATTACTTTTAAATTAAGATTTCCAACATTTACATTTTTATGTAACAATAATTAGGTTTCCCCTTTTTGTGTAAGTTCATATTAAAATTTTAAACCCATTAAAATGAAGTTGTAGAATTATGATTACGGGATCCTTAGAGAAAGAAATGAATTCTATGTCTTTTAATCCTGCAGCTCAAAACAAATTGTCCCAAAACGACAATTTTTAAAAGCTTTAGTTCAGCTTTTATAACTTTTATGATTTTATTTTTTCTAGTTTTTTATTTAAACTTCATATTGTATACTTTCTTCTTTTTCTTTGTTATGCTAGAGAAACTCTTCAAAAAAAAATTTTGTATGGAATATTGGGGGTGAAATTTCTGGGTCTATTTCTGAAAATATCTTTATTCTGTTCTCACGTCTACTGATAAAATAGCTAGGTATAGAATTCTTGGTCCAAAAATAAATCCCCCACTGAACTTCAATGACATTAATTGGCTCATTTGCTTCTAGTAACTGAGACTGACGTTAAGAATTGGTTCTAGTTTCTTTGTAAGACTGCCCGTTTATTCTCTTTGGAATGCTATGAAGATTCTTTTCTTTAGTCTAGATGTTCTGACCAGGATATATCTAGGTGGGTCTTTTGCCCATTTTGATCAATTTCAGTGGGTCATATCAACACCAAGACTCGTTTGAAATGGTTTTCTATCATTTTCACATGTTTAAATTTTTTTTTATCATCTTTTTAAATTTTGAAGTTCTTAATAGAAAGCTGTTGGCCATTTTGAATCTATTCACCATTTTGACTTTTTTTTCATCTCTCTTTTTACTATGCAATAAAGATTTCTTCGACTTTTTCTTCTAGAGGAATAGCTTAATTTGTACCCTAGCAGTTTAATTCTATATCACAGTATATTTTTTATCGCTAAACATTGTTTCCTATGCTGTGACTATTCCTTTCCATAGCAGCCTATTATAATTTTATGGACATAATATTTTCTCAAGTTCCACTAACTTAATAATTACAATTTTTTTTTTAAAAAAAGTCCTCTGCTATACTCAGAATTATTTGACCTCAGTTCTTTGGTTTATGTTGCTCTTTCTTTTACATATGCTATGAGTTTTCCTCAAATACTTTATGATCCTTGGGTTTGGTTGAAATTTTTGGAGGAAATATTCCACACTTTAAAAATCATTATAATTCTCTTTTCCTCTCTAAAGTTGGGTAGAGAGAAGAGAAAAGTACTTCGGTTTCTCTTCAGCACTTAAGTTTTAATTAATACTCAACAAATTCTTCATTATTCAGAAGAATCTGGGAATTTGTTTCTTACTCGTGATATGTGAGGGAGCAGAGAGAAAGGAACAGAATGTCTCCAAGATAGCAGCGTGATGACTCTCCAATTTTATCATCTGCAATCATGGGTTCTTAATGTTCGTAAGAAAATCTAAAATATACCTTACTGACAATCTTAAGATATAAAATCATCAACAATTAAAAGTGCATATTTAGCATTAGAATTAGCCTTGCTCTACATAGTCCCCCAAACTCTACTTACATTTGTCATTTTCAGAAAACATTTCTTATTGTCCCACTAGGAATGAGTCAAATAACAAGTCCTTCATGCTATGCTCTTAGAAAGGTCAGTTGAGAGTGTGTGGAAACAGAACGTGCCCTCTTACCTGCTGTGTGGTACTGGTGACGATGCCTTGCTGGAGGCGGTAGGCCTGCTCTTGAAGGTACTTTCTAGTCTCATGATTCCGGAGCAGATAGTTTTCTATCTGGAAATTAAGCACATGTTTCTCTCAAGAACACATTTTGACTCAGCAGAGAGTAAAGTTATAAGTGAAAAGCCAGTCGCTGAACTTAAAACCAAAGCACTAATTCGCACATCCTATAAGTACCTTGACCCCATAAAACATATGAGATGGGGAAACTGGCAATCACTGTGTAGCATTATTGGTGTTTTTAGTTAGAAAGTTAACTAGCAGGTAACTGTAGTAATTTATATGTGACTCTAGTGAACAAAGACAAGGAAGTGTTTAATTGCCTGTAAGGCTGGAGACCCCACAGCAACTTTTCATCACTCTCCTGCACACAATCTCAGTTCTTTCTCTCTCATAAATTTTTAACCACTAAACAGTTGAGAAGTTAATGAATGTCCCCAAGGGGTATGGATGATACTCTGAACCTCGCAGCAAGTGGTAGAATCCACCAGCACTTAGAAAACTCCTTAAGGAAAAAATAAAAGAGAAAATAGATACAGCATTTGAAGAATACGGGCTGGTAAAACTCGAAGACATATTAGTTTCATTAATTCACCTGGTTTTCATACTTTCTTGTAAATGGAACTGATTTTAGCAAATACAGAAAATAAAAAAATGGATTTCCACAGAAAATGAGAAATCTTGAAGTTGATTGACTATTTGTATTTTTAAACAATCTCCTATGAAAAATTCAAAAGTACAAATGATAACTAGATTGAAATAAAGCATTTAAGAAGAACAATATGCAATGGATACATATTGAATAAAGACGTAGGATTAGCTATTGGGAATGATTGATACCTAGAAAGACGTATTTTAAAGAGTAATTGGAGATGGGTAATTGTGCCATCCATTTTTTTTTCAGTTGTTGTTTTTGTTTGTTTCTAATAACATCACCTAATCATTGGGCTTTTAATTTACCACTATGGTTCCCTGGTCTTATAAGAACTTCTAATAATTGGGAAGCTCTTGGTATGATTACATTTTCATTTTCACTTTCCTTATGCAAAAATGACTACTAGTTAATACCGATTATAATTACTATCATCCCTGGAAACTATAAAGCAGAACAAAATCTACCTTTTTACTAAACAGAAATGAAGAAATTATAAAAACGAAAAGATCCCTGAAATGAAATATCATGAAAGTGACACATTGATACCATGACATTAGAGTACATTAGTTTTCTCTTGCTGCTCTCCAAGAAGTCACCTCTTTCCAAGGTGACATTGCCATCAAAGTAAAATTTTTTTGCTAAAAAGATTCTTGCCTGAAATGTGGTAGATGTACATCACCACCAGCCTTGGTGCTTCTGTTCTGTTATTTGTTCTTTTATATTTGGCCTTGGGAAGCACTGTCTGTGGGCCAGTTCTCGGAGCAGACTGTTTACCCATGAGGTTCAGCTCACACACTGGTGATGCCCAAGGCTGGCCCATGCATTTCTAGACGTTCCCCAAGTGTACTAATGGTGCTGCACAGACTAAGCCTGAAGGGAACTTTTTGGAAGATAAAATTCTAAGTTTCTTTCTAAAAGCCGGTACAAGGGAAAAGAAGAATAGCAGTGTTTGATTGCCTTTAATATCAGTCATGTACACATCACTGCTAAAAGTGGTTGCATCTTGGATCAACAGGGTAAACTCTCCTTCCGTGCATTATTCCAGACCAGGGACAGAGACCTCACCTCCTAGGGACTAAAGACAGAGGGCCTGACTCCGGTCAGATGGTAAGGGAAGGGCCAAGGCTGTCATGATCATTTTGTGGGACCCAGGGCCGCACAGGGCTACCTGGGGGACAGTCTAGAGCTAGTCAGACATCTCCAGTCTCACTGCTGAAAACAACAGCAGCACAAGAGGCAAAATCCCTGTTTTAATAAAGAAATCTTGTGTTTAAAAAAAATTTATAAAGGTTGAGTATAGAATTACAACATTGTTCTTCAGTAGAGTAAAATTAAAGAGCCACATTTCTTCTAGAGGATAGAGTTCTATTAAAATGAAGATGAGTATATAAAAGCATAGTAAATATTACAGGATAAAAAAAAAACAATAAAGATGAGCTTTAACTTCACCAATTTTTTTTCATTAAAAACCATAAATTTTAAAATTAACATATTGGGATCCTCCTTTGCCCTTAGTCCCACTTTATGGATCTACTTTTAGTTTCCTGACCTGTAAAACATGCCTTGCTAGAGTTGGATTAATATCTACCACATTGGTAACTATTTTCTATTTGTTGCATTTACTCTTTTCTTCTTTGTCTCTTTATCTGCCTTCTCTGATTTTAACTATAGTATGATTGCATTTTTCATTTCTATTAGCACATATCAATTATACTTATTTTTAAGTTTTTTAAGTGGTTTTAAGTTTTTTAGCCCTAGTGTTAGCAATGTACATTTATAACTAATCCATGCCCACTTTCAAATAACACTATACTATTTCACAAGCAGTACGGGTCCCTTATAACAGAGTTCTGACAATTTCTCCCTCCTATCCCTTGTAACACTGCCATCTTAGAAAGTCTTCATTTCTTTACTTTTGAAAGAAATTTTTACCAGATACAGAATTCTAGGCTGCTAGGTTTTTTTTTTTTCTTTCAACATTAAATACTGTAGTCCACTCTCTTTTTGCTTATGTGATTTCTGACTAAATGTCTGATGTGATTTTTGTCTATATTTCTCGATAGGTAAGGTGCTTTTTTTCTTCTGGCTTCTTTCAAGATTTTCTCCTTGTCTTTGTTTTTCTGCAGTTTGAATATGACTACGTGCAGACTGTTCTCTGAAATTCCTGGATCTGTAGTTTGGTGTCTATATTTTGGAAAATTCTCTGCCACTATTATGTCAGATACTTCTTCTGTTCCTTTCCCTTTCTTCTCCTTCTGGTATTCCAATTGCATGGCTGTTTAATCTTCTGTAATTGTCCCACAGTTCTGGGATATTCTGTTGTTTTTTTCTCCTATTTTTTTTTCCTCTTTGCATTTTGGTTTGGGAAGTAGCTAATGACACATCTTCAATTCAATGGTTCTTTCTTTGGCTGTGCCCAGTTTATTGATGAACTCATAAAAGGCATTTTTCATTTTTGTTAAGTGTTTTTTGATCTCTAGACATTTCCTTTTAATTTTTTCTTAGAGTTTCTATCTCTCTGCTTGTATTATCTATCTGTTCTTGATTTCATTTTACTTGTTCATTAGAGAACATATTAATCATAGTCATTTTAAATTCTGTATCATAATTCCAAAATCTGTGTCACATCTGAGTCTGGTTCTGATGTTTGCTTTTTCTCTTCTCAGTGAGTTTTTTCTTGCCTTTTAGCATGCCTTGTAATTTTTTGTTGAAAGCCAGATATGATGTACCTGGTAATAGGAAATTGAGATGATCAAGCTTTTAGTGTGAGGTTTTATGCTAATCTAGCTAGAAGCCAGATTGTTGAATGTTTGCTGAAGCTGTAGGTGCTAGAAACTTTAATTTTTTTCAGTGTGCTTGTGTTTGTCTCCCCTGTTGTTCTGTGGTTTCCCTAGAAACTCCTTAAATAGAGTGCCTTGCAGGTTGCTCAGTTGTAATCCATATTATTATACTAGATGTGGTGGTCAGGTGTTCGGGAAGGGAATCATCCTATAATCTTTTGATTAAATTTAGTTTTTATTAGTGGGGCTAAGTCCCTGGGTTGTGACCTTCAGAAGTGTTTCTTGGCCTTTTTACCACTTTCTCTTACGTAAAACAGGAAGGTTAGTGGGGGCTGAGGTTGTCCAGCTGTCTTTTCCCAGGGCAGACAAGGCTCTGGCAGAGTAGATAACCTGGATGGTAGGCCTCTGTTATGGAGGACGGAAAGCTCTGTGTATATTTCAAACCAGTTATTTTTTCCCTTCCTCCTGCCAGAAGCATGAAGGGATTTTTCTACAATCTTTAATGTGATAACCTGGTGGAACTCCTGGAGGTAAAACACATGAGAGGGTCAGGGCCTCCTTAAGACTGGGCCCCTATCTGTTTTCAGCTTTTAACCTATGTTGTTCACATTAAGCCTCCAGCAGTTCATCCTGCCCCTGATCTTGGCTTTGACTCACTGTGATTCTCTGTGTTCCTGTCCAGGGTGAGTTTGCTTTGTAACCTCAATTCTCTGATGCATATAAAAACAATCATTGATTTTTCTGTTTACTCAGCTTTTTTTCTTATGAAGATGAGAATGATGACTTCCACACTCTTTACAAGTCAAATCTGAAACCAGAAACCTGGCTTGTCAAGAATATATGTTCTAGATCCTGGTCAAGCTGGTGGAGTAGGTAAACACTGTGTTTGCCTCTTCTCATGACATCAAAATTACAACTACAGAACAACCATCACTGAGAATCACCTGAAGTCTAGCTGAACTGAATGAAGTCCTACAACTAAGGACAGAAGAAGCTACCTTGAGACTGGTAGGAAGGGAGGAGACATGGAATGGCCTGGTCACATTGCCACGTGTGGTGGTTAAAGATTGGGAGCAATATCTCAGCTGTGGAGGAGCCCCCCAAGGAGTGAGGGGGTCCCAACCCCATACCAGCTCTCCAGCCCAGGGTTCAAGTGCCGAGAAGAGTCTCCATGACTCTTTGCTGTGAAAACCAGAGAAGACTGTGGCTGAGTGAGACAGAAGGCAACTAGAGAGATAGACATTTCTCTTAAAGGGCTTACACACAGACTTATTTGCTGAGGGACTCACTTGCTTTTAGCTCCAGCACTGGGGCAACAGCTTGAAAGGTACCAGGGGCATACTGGGACGAAATGAATGGTCTGGCTTCAGGGTGAGGGCTGAAGGGACAGCTTTCTCCCACACAGAAGTCCTGGTGGAAGTCATTGTTCCTTTGTTGAGCTGTCCATACCTCTAGGCATGCAGACGCAGGCTGACTCCATGTGAATCTCTCCATGAACCTGGCTAACACTGGTTGCCCAGTCCTGGAGATTCCCTGAGACCCTGCCCCATCCAACTTGCAGTCCCACTTCTGGAGGCTTTTCTATACAAACACTTTTAGAAGCTTTTCTATACAAACGACCTGTCTTGGCTTGTGCTGTGGACTTTCTTAAAATCTCTCAAAGGTTCACAAAATCTAAACAAGCAGCATCTGGCCTTGGTATGCCCCTTACTTCTTTCTGAGCAGCCTGACACAAGTGGCAGCCGACCTCAAGTCATGGTTTGGCCTCTCTAGGCGTCTCTAAGCCCAGTGTGGGTAGTGGCCACCTATGAATTGTTTGGTGGCTCATGCGAGGTGATCCTGGGAAGGGCACAGGCTTCAGCTGAACTTAGCCTGTGGCGGGGCCCTCGCAGGAAGTCCCGCAGGAAGCACACCCAGTGGCCAACTTTGGACAAGACTGGAGCACCACCCGGGGCTGCATCTGAGGATAATACACCCAAAGGGCAGACTGGGCAGACACCAGAGTCCTGCTAAAGTGAATTCAGCTCCATAGAGCCAGCCCCTCACGAGTCAGTCCTCACAACCAATCAACCTGAGGGTCAATCACTCCCACTGACGTGCAAACAACCAAGATATGGAAGCAACCTGGTGTCTACCAATGAACGAATGGACAAAGAAGAGGTAGTACACATAAACAATGGAATATTACTCAGCCATAACAAAAGAATGAAATCTTGTCATCTGCAACAACAGAGATGGACTTAGAGGGTATCATGCTGAGTGGAGTAAGTCAGACAGAGAAAGACAAATGCCATAAGATTTCAGTTACATGCGGAATCTAAAGAACAACATAAATGATCGAACAAAACAGAAACAAACATAGATACAGAGACCATTTTGATGGCTGCCAAATGGGAAAAGGGTTGGGGGGGCGGTGGAAAAGGAGAAGAGATTAAGAAGTTCAAATTGGTAGTCATAAAATAGCCATGGGGATGTAAACTATAGCATAAGGAATATAATCAATAATATTGTAATAATTATGTATGGTGTCAGATGGGTATTAGATTTTGGGTTCATCACTTTGTAAGTTATATAAATGTCTAACCACCATGGTGTAAAACTAATATAATATTGTATGCCAACTGTATTTGAAAAATAAAAAAAGTATTAAAAAATAACACCAAATTTATAACAGTATAAAAAACAAAATATCTCATTAATTTTTATATTGATTACATCTTGAAATAATATTCTGGATATATTAAGGAAAACATACTATCAAGTTAAAAAAAGTACGTCTTTTGTTATAAGTTAATATCCTTTAGGATCCAGCATTTGTATGTTGCTTTATGGTCTACAAATTGCTTTTCACATATACTACCTTGTTGCCACCTTAGGCAAATTACTGTCTCCCTGCCCTTCAGTGTTCTTATCTGTAAAATGAGGATATAATATAACCTATCTCATGGGTTTATTTTAAATAGTACATGTATTAATTTATGTTAAGCATTTAAAGTAGTGTCAGGCACCAAGCAAAAATTAGATGTTAAGTGTCTGCTAAACATAATTATCATATAGCTTTATTTTCCTTATTTATATAGATGAAGACACTAAAATACAGAAAAATTAACTAACTTATTGAAATTACAAAGCTAGGCCAAGTTTGATATAGTCAAATCTTTTGATCCAAATCTTGGATGATTTTTTTGCCACACCTCAGCTTTCTCTCCTCTCCACTCCCAATCTTATTCTTTTTTTTTCAACAAATGTTTAAGGAGCATCCTGGCATGCATGCCAGGACACTATGCCAGCTACCGAGAATAAAAAAAAAAGAAAAATACACAGACACTGCCTTTGAGGAGTTCACAGTCACTGGGAGAAAAACATATGGAGGCAGGTAGCTAAAAACAATGTCACAAGGCCAGTGACAGAGGAAATTATGAGAAGACAATCTACCTAGTGGGGAAAGGGGACTCTGAGACATCTTCCTGGATGAGCTGACACTTAATTTCAATCTCACGGACATGCAAGATAGTGGGGAAAGCATGAGTACCATCTAAATTAGAGTAGTGATTCTCAAACTTCATAATCACCAGGAGAGTTTGTGAAAACACAGACTGCTGAGTCCCAGTCCAGTTTCTGAGGCCCAAGAATTTGTATTTCTAACATGTTCTAAGAGGTTGAGCATAACAAAGCATCATGGTTGGTAGAACATGAAGCTGGAGGGGAATAGGAGGCCAATTCTGGGCAAAATTTCATGCCATGTTAAGGAGGTCAGGCTTTCTCCCAAAAACCACTAGGAATGGGTGGATTAGAGGTTTTAGTCCATTCAAATTCATCATGAAATTAGATGGCAAGTTTTGACTGCAATATGAAAAATAGATAAGAGGAGGCAAATGCGACAATAATCCTGGTGAGAGTGCTGAGGTATGAACGAAGGAATCTTTCATAGAAATAGAGGGAGGAGAGCAAATGAAGAAATTTATGCTCTAGAATCTGTAACTGTGGTGACTGACTGACTGAGGAAGGCATGAGGAAGGAAAGCCAAGCTTGGGAGACAGCATGGAGGGTTGTATCACCAAGGAGAGAGCACAAAGAGGGGAAAAAAGTTTTCCCCAATGACAAATAGTCAAGGTGAAGTAGGCTTCTACGAATAGGAAATATTTGAACATATCTAAAAATGGAGAGAAAGGTAACCATAACCATAGAAAGAGAAGGAAAAAGACACAGGAGAGCAAGGGAATGGGGCAAGCTTCCAGCACAGGGCAGAGGATGGTGGGGTCAAGGCACCATGGTGGCTGGACTCTGAAGGGGGATGCACCCTTCATCCTCTGGGTTTGCCAGAAAGGATGTGGGAATGAGTCTGGATTTAGACATATCCACAGACAAACGTGAAGGAAGATCACAGTAATAACTTAAATTTTTTGATGAGGAAGAGAGGGAAGGTTCTGTCTGTTGAGGATGAAGGAGGGAGGTTGAACAAGGTGACATTCAGGTCTACAGTTCTCAAAAGGGTAACAGGAAGTCATCTATGCTTAAGCTCTGGCATGTTGATGTCATAAGGATGTTACTCTATTCCACTTAAATTCCATGACAAGGTTCAGTTTAATGTTATTCCTTCCCCATTTATGCATTATGCCAGTCATGATCCTAAGAATATGAGGTAATGTGAAAAAGCTTTGTAAAATACAAAGTACTGTTCGTATGTCCAGAAGTATCATGAACATAATTCAATTTGAATGTGAATTTATTACAATTAAACTACTGATTCTTCAATACCTTCTGCAGAGCCTCTTCTGTTTTTTCAGGGTTTGTCTTGAGGGCTTGAGAAGCATCATACATAGGAATTGGCATAAATCTCAATGTGTAGTTCCTAGAAAAAGGAGAAAATAATGTTTGTTTAAAAATACCCTATTACCTTAACTCATCGCTCTTTTAAAATCCCAAAAGATGGTTGTCAGACTGTCTTAGAAAATTGTGAATGATCAGTACATCTTAGGCCCCCAGACTGCAGACCAGTGTCTACACGGCAGCACCACAGGGACCTCATCAACTCAGGAAATCTGACGAAACTGACACAACTTTCAGGAATGTGGTTTTGTTTTGTTTTCAGTTTTCAATTATATCAAGGATGGAATGTTCAAATTGGGACTGGAATGACGGACTGAGAGGAAGCCTAAAAGAAAGCCCAGTATCAGCCTGCTGCTTGGGCTTTAGTCGCTGGGAGATCTGAATGTACCAGATCAGCACGGTAGCTATGGTGACAGCTAGAACCCAAACTGTTAGAGGAAAAATAAAAAATCGAAACAAAACTTGTGCTTACAAAGCAAGGACATTACATTAGCATCCACAAAGATAGTCTATTCAGGCTCTGGGCTCCTTTAAATGAGCAAGTCCAAGACAAAGGATTGTCTTCAGAAAAGTTGCTGGCAGTAGTTTCCTGCCTGGCTCAACACCCTGATCGCTGCAGGTCTCTGCAGTTTGCAAACACGATCACCCCCATGCTCTGGACATCAAATGAAACCCCCAGGAGTCCTGTGTTCACATTATCTCACCATGGCTGACCAGCTGATTAGACACAAGAGTGCAAGAGAGAGTCACTTGGTATGAGGAAAACACAGACTGAATCTGCACTCCAGCCTTTGATCCCGACCCTGCTACAAACAGCACTCACAATGTGATTTTTATGAATATTTAGATGACTTCTACTGAAAAAGTACCTTAACAACTACTTCCTAAAATAAGGCTCTAATGATGAAGAAATGATAAACAATCATCTTAATAGCTGTAGTAATCTAGATAAGTACTATCAAATGGGAAAAAATGTTCTCCATCCAGTCCAACTTATAAAGTGGCTTAATGTAAAATAACCCAAAGAAAAGGCCGTTCTATCTATAATTTTAATTTTTCCCTAGCTTTGCTTCAGCAGAATTGTTTTTGTTTGGTTTAAGAGCCAGTGAACTGAAACTATGAGATAATAGGTCTTTTTCACAGCCTTGAAGATTTCCTTTCCCTCATCCAAATCTGATCATGCTACAGACCAGTAGAGTTTATTGAAACCAAATGTGGTTTTGAACCACTGGCATCTTGGAACACACCGTGCATAACAAATTATGATCCAGGGAGCCCAACCATCAATCTGGAAATGGTGAAGACTGGGTATGTGTGTGCCCTTGGCTTCTCACAAAGACCACTCGGGGCTGGCAGTCTACAACATTATCAGGGTGGCAACTGTGCCATTAGCACTCAAATGAAGCTACTGTAAATAAATGCTTCCATTTGGAGGTTTTGTGGTGAAGAGGAGTAATTATAGGTGGTTCCATAGTCATAGAAGGCTCTAGAGAGAGGGAGCTATGGTGACTGGATGGTGCAAACTACCTTACCCATGTTTAGTGATGGCCTCTGGCGGCAGCAAATTGAACTTCCTGGCTATAGTAGAGTCATGGGATTTAGAATTGGAAGACACTTAGGGATAATCTACTTAAAATGCTTTGTTCAGTATCATAGGCTTATTTGTGACAAAGCCGAGGACTGAATGGAGGGCTTCTAACTCCAGGTCTAGGGTTGTATCCACAGCACTAAACTGGACAAGAGAGCTCCAGGTTCATGCATGGAGGGAATTCTGGGAAAACACAAAAGAATGAACACCCTCTCCTCTTCTCCAGGAACTGACTTCCATGCTACTGGCCTCTTATTTCCCATTCACATTTTGTAACCTCTCATCTGCAATGCTTTGATCGTTTCTACCTTTAGAATACAATATGAGGATTGAACACCTCAGAAAGAACCAGATTTCTAGCATTTTTTCCAGCCATGTTTATATTATGATTTCTTCATTTGGTTTACTTGGGAAGTAAATTTGACAATAAATAATAATTGCAGACTCTAGTTACTAAGGTCATAAAGAAAGCATTTTAGAATGAGACAAGTTAGCTCCAGGCTTGCCATCTGTCAATTTCACTTTTTTAAAATTTTCTGGGCCTCAGCTTTCTTCTTACCACTGGATTCAAAGTTATCATAATGGACAAAAAGGCAAGACCCAGTGGAAATAGACTGTGAAACCACAGGAGGAAGCCAGGCTCCCAGCCTCTCCCGGTGCTCTCTAATCCTCACAACCGTGTGGGGTCTCCAGCAGAACATGCATCTGCCCTCGCGTTACAGGTGCAGAAACTCACACCAGAAGAAAGTCCGTGTCTTCCCAAGTCCCATGGCTTGTGAGCAGAGACTAACTCGGACTCTGGTCTTCAGATTCCATCAACGGCTACTTCTTTTACCCCACAGATCACACAAACAACATTGCATCTTGGTATTTTTTCAGAAAAAAGTCCTAATGAAAACTTACTTTTCCATAGCAACAGCTATATCTTGAAAACCTTGTGCAGTAATGTTGTTCTTGTCCCATATAACAGTCCTGTTCAAAAACCGAATCGCAGAAATGATCAGACACTTAGGAATGGAGGAAATAAGTCTCTCAATGAAGACAAATCTTACAGGCAACACTGTCAAGGTACTTTAGTACAATGGCTTTAAGTTAGCAAAAAATGGTGTGTAACCTTGTTTCAAACAAAGCAAGGATGATCATTTCCCCACACATTTACTCTAGTATGAAATTTTTTTTTTAAAGGAACAGTACACGCATTCACTAACCATTAATGCTTTACTAGGCCAAAAAAGTCTAAAACCTGACTTCTTTTTCTCCCAGTGGTAGTCTAGTATTCACTTCTGAGACTGAAATTATATATGAAGATGCTAAGCAGTCTCGTGTCCAACAAAAAGAATTCTAGGTACTAAGACTTTTCCATTCTAAACAACTAGAGGGGATCTCAACATATTTTCTAATGCTGCCCTGACATGGTATGATCAGCTATGTCAGGAATCCCCCTCATTCTGCTGGCAAAAACTCAGTTACTATAAATACGAGGTTGTTTCTTTTTAAACACAAAACCCATTTTGGAAGAAAAGTATTATTTTACCTTCAGAATGTGAATACTTCACAGATACTTTAGGATTTGTCAATACACCTGATACACGAAATGGCTCCCATTTGTCTGGATGATCCCAGACTCACAATCTCTAACTCCTAATCTCAATGACCTTCTCTACATATTACTGACCTTCAAAGAAACTGCTGCAGGTTTGGGATTTTGGCTTCAGTTTAGACAGAAGGTTCAAGCTCTGTCTTACACTGGAGAGCAAAGAGAACAGGACAGAGCCCTTGGGAAGTAATGTGAATTAACTCTTCATTCACAAGACTTTTGGACTATGGACAACCCAGGTCTGAATGACAGAAGCTGCATGGTTACCACGGAGCTAGTCCCAAAGGAAAGTGGTTACCACATAGCTAGTTCTTAAGGAAAGCCAATCTTGGGAGCACATGGATGGAAATCACTGAAGAGAGCAGTCAGCACCCAGTGTGAACTTCCTTTGAACCAGTGAACCTTGTGTACCCCTTGGGTTTTCTGTCTCTCTATGGCCAGAAGTGGGGAGGGAGGACAAGACGCTGGCCTCATACCAAGTACAGGAAAAGCCCTCCTGCTGCTCCTGCTGCCTTCTCAGCTCTGCTCACTTGACGCTGACACAGACCCTCCTCTGCTGCCCCTTGCCTTTCCCCACCACTGGCCAGTGTTAACACGAACATTAAAAGGAAATTGCAATGGCTCTCAATCAGATTTCACCTCCCAGTGGGAATCTTTAAGACAAAAGCTTCGAGGAGTAACTATGTCTAAATTTGGGAACATCCTCCCCAGTATTTTGACAAAAGACTTGAAACTGTCATCTCTTCTTCCCAGGTGGCTTGTTGGGAAGCTCAGCCACCTCGGCACAGCCAGCTCTCTGATGCTCGTTGGACGGCATCGTTTGCAGGGCTTCCTTAGAATGAGCATGCACCTCAGGGCCCAGGGCCTGGCCCACGTACCTGAGCTTGGTGTTGATCTGCAGAGCTTTGGCCAGCATCTTGGCTCCCATGTCTCCCATGGCATTCCCACTGATGTCCACTTTGGTCAGGGAGGTATTGCTTCCCAGGGCGTTAATGATGATGGTGACCTCGGTCTTGAGTTTCGAGTCAGCCAGGGACAAGGACTGCAGAGGCTGTGGAGGAAATAGCAGGCAACATGCATACAGGCTTATCAAAGCAGCCACCATCCTCGATGACCCACGTCATGAAGAATCATCAAGGGGAGGAACCCACTGCTCAAAGTGCCTCATTTGTAAACTTATGGCTAAAACATACTGATAAATGGGACCTGAGATTCTGGCATAATGGACCTCTGGAATCAAACATGAGAGCTTGTGTTTTCATGCTAGATAGTGGGCGCCTCTCCTCTAAGAGAAGCTGTGAAAAGACACAAAGAGTGGCAAATGCCAGGTTTTGAAGTGGAATATAGGATGAAATAAAAATGCTACGTAAAAATTTCTTACCTTCAGTATGGCTGCCTTATCCCTTTTTACTCATTTTATTTTCATGCAAGGTGAAATGACATCTTAAATTATTAATGGACAAATGTGAAATAAAAACCAGCCAAGATTAGTAACAGCTGACATTTATTGAACACGTACTATGTTGAACCACCGTTTAAGGTTTTTACATGTATTTATTCATTTAATCCTCCCAGGAACCCAATACTTAGGTATCTTTATGTTAGATATTGTTATCCCCATTTCCCAAATAAGAAACAAAAAGGTTAAGTAACTCAACCGAGGTCACATAGTCAGAAAGTAGCTGAGCTGGAACCAGATGGCCTGGTTCCAGATTCTATGCACTTAACCCTACACAACAGTGCCTCTGTTAGCTTATCCTACATTCTTTGATCATCATTCTTAGGTTTACCTTTTAAGTACCAATCAGAAAATATACCTACAATTAAAAAGAAAAAGTCTAAAATGGGTAACCTTATTTTTACCATAAGCTATATGGTGAATCTAAGCCAAACTGCTCACTGTCCATTTAAGCCTGAGACTGATAGCCACTCGGCCTGGAGGCAGCTCTGTTTGGTCTGTATATCCGACCAAAAAATGACTAGGGCACCCTACTTACACCCTGGTAACTTTACTTACTTATGTTGCCTTCTTACCCCTGTGGACATTTGAATTTGCAATCTTTGATTACACCATAACTGATTTAATGACATGAGAATTCCAGGACTTGAACCAATGTGGCTCTAAAAGTCAGAATTCAGACATCCCTGGTGGATACAAATGTCTTTCAATTACCCAAGGTGGTCTGCACTGACCTAGCTACACTGAACAGTTTTATCTGCTTTTCCGTAAGTAGCTCTGACCCTACAGAGAGGTGGATGCTGGAAACAGCTTCTAGAGCCATCTATGACAAGGTTCTATGGTGGCTTGTGGGACTGGAGCTATCAAGATGTGCCTGGTGGTCTGTATGATCCCCCACAAAAAGCCTAGGGTGTATCTCTGTCCATTCAACCACTAAACATTGACTTCCAAAGGCACACCTATTTGAGGCACATCTGCCGAATGGCTGCAGGACTCAGGACGAGGATGCTAATGATTTCAAGACTCAGATATCCACAAAGCAGCATTCTGAGTTTAGTTATAGTTTTATCAAGGGACTATACTTATTGTCCTAACTGCCCAAATTTGATGTTTTCTAAACTGAGTACATCTATGGTAAAATCAAAAGGTAATATATTACTTAGAATCAAACTTTTAAAAGTTAAATAGCATGGTAAGTGCTAAAGCAATTAAAACCTCAGCCGAAAGCCTACATGTGCTTAGACTCTAGCAGGTTTAGTGAGGTTGCTTCAATTCTCTTAAGATCCTACACTGAAGTAAATGGAAAAACTTAACTAAATATGCTTCAGACTCAAGAAAATGTTTTAAGTGAAAACAAAGGCACTGTCGCTTTAATAAAAAGCTGTAATCAAATCTCTCATCATTTCAATAATCGTTATTCAACTGCTACGAAAATGATATATTACAGCTTCTTCCCAATACTGGAAAACTGCCAAGTCTCCAAGCCAGAAAGCACCAATTTCAGGACTATGTTCAAACTCAAGTACACCCCAGTTAATACTTAAAAATAACAGGCAGACTCATTAATGCAAACAGCACAACCTGAATTACATGCATATTTATAAGGTCATCCTTTCTTGATTTATTGTACTACCTTGTAACATTACTATTTGAAATCTTACTATTTCTTTTCATAGCTGAACATGCTTATCTGCGACTTGTTCTCCTTGCTGCAGGCACTCTCAGGAGAAACACATTCTGTTCTACTGATTATAACATAGGTTTGTATGTAACACTTCAAAATAAGATTCCCTGTCATCCTGGCCCCTCCATGTTACTGTCCCAGGACTGAGAGCTGCACCCTGACAACCACTGTCTGCAATTGAAGGTGACACTGGAGCCCATACCTGTCTATGTTTTCTAAGTGTACCTAATGTGTAATACTGGGCAAATAAAGTATTCCCTTGGCTGTCAAGGATATAAAAAATATATAGGGTCAGAATATAAAAAAAACAAAAAACAAAAATAACTATCTATGTCAAAACCTTTTAAAAATAAAACAAAAAATGAGCTCTACTGTGCCAGTTATTGGTGGAATTTTTATAGTCACAAGACTCAACATCTGATCATTTAAAATTATTTTACACATTACTGATTCAGAATAAAAAAAATTGATGGCAACTGCTTTTTGAAAAAGCCATCTACTTTTTTGATGACACAAACATAAAAAGCTTTTCAGTGCACATTATTAGTAGCACATTAACTCAAACTTATAACTTGACACAACTCACATTTACAAAGCAAGTTTTTACCATCTGCAAATATCTTCCTAGGTGTGTTTTAAGTATCAAGATTATCTTTGCAAGATTCGAAATTACAGAAAAGGAGTTTGAAGACCCTTGTGTAATAAGCAAAACATGAAACAAATATATTTTTCATAAAATATAAATTTTCCTAAAATATATGCTAAGAAACAAATATTTGGGGATAAATATTAAATATAATTCTGCAACATTCACTTACCCAATCTTTTAAAACTGGGCCTATACTGGGAAATCAGAATCGTAAATAAAGCACGGTAGTATGAAATGAAATTAAATACGTAAAACGAATAGCCTATATTCTGAAAAGTGTAAACTACATCCTAATTATGACCCTAATTTTAATGACTTTACAAGAATAACAAAATATAGGATTTATTAGTAAATGAGGACAGAGAGAAGTGCTTGAATTCATTAAATAATAATGAGTTTCATTTCTAGCCCACAAGTTAGAAACTATATCCACACAATGATGAGGCAGGAGAACAGAATGTTCTCTCCACAAAGCAGTGTAAAGCAGGGCAAGCAAGGAAAAGTTCTAGTTCCCATCTCCCTTGGCCCTTCGGCTTTCTCAGGAAAAGTTAGTTTACAGAATTTCCTACTATCCCATATGAATTCAAAAGGGACCATTTTACTTTTTAAATATGTGACATATCTCACATGATTAATATAGGAAATCAGTCTTATGCCCCACAAAAGTAGCTATCACAAACATGAGCAATGCAAATCTTCATAGTAGGAATACAAACTGATCTGGATTTTAGGAACCATAAAAGCTGATTCTGACAGCCAAATAGGACTAAGACAGGAAAGAGATAAAATCTTAAAGAGCATTAGTAAATGCAAGGTGTGACACACCAGGTTTAAATGAATTAACACTAGTGCTTCTTATTTTGTCCACAATATATCTTTTCCTTTTTTCTAGTACATTCTTAAGAAGGTAGCAAAATAGGATATTTGAAATTAAATTTCTTTACCCCGAACCAATTCTTGGCCAGAAGCAACTAAAGGGGAAAAATATAAGAAGGATTACTAGAGCTCAAGAAGCAATTTTAGATGGGGGACAACTTTCTTAGTCTCTTGTATCTCTGTGTAATTACTAGATGAAACTAAGATTAACAATGTGATATTTCTCAGCATGAAATAAGGTCATAAAGTCAATATATTATAATAATTCATGCCTGCAGATTAGCCTTAGAAAATATAAGGCTTATTAAAAGATGGGCTTAGGAGTCAATTTATATCTTTTAATCTATTACTTATAAGCTACCTTTAATTAGTGATGAGTTGAATCAAGTGAAGAGTAGGTAAATTTTACATACCTTCTATAGCTGTACTAAAGCACAAGCATTTATTCCTCTTAAAAAACAACAATAGAAAGTGTATATGCAGATAAAATTATTTGAAAGCATATCAGTATTAACCCAGTAGAAATAACTAGTAAGAATGGTAACAAAGACTTTAGGCAAAAGTTTTTAAAAATAATACTCACTGATTCTTCATCTTGAATCATCTGTACTAAGTTGTCCAACACAGGTGCCAGATTTCTAAAGAGATTTTAAAGATGTAGACAGTGGAATCAAACCAAAAGTTTTCAGGAGGCTGGTTATTTTCATCATTGTCATATAAAAAAACTCAAAACTCTTACTTGGATTTCATATTATTAAAATTTCTGCCTAATGCCAGGTGTTGTATTGATCTGTTTTTACTGAGCCACACTATTAAGGTAGATAGGTCAGACTCTAAACCTGGAAAGGATGAGAGGAGGTGGAGAATCAGAACACATGTGAACTTAACTGGAACACAATTAAGCAAAGGCGACATGCAGTTGGATGACTTTCCTGAGATTATTTCAGAGATAAACTCATTCTCTACAAACTCATTCTCTACATTCTCTTACACAATCAGTGGCTAAATAAAGCCAGTGGAAATTGTGAGTGGAGAATGGCAGAATGTTTCAACTCTCCCATCACTTGTTACGAGAAGATTGTAATATGTTGTTCACTGGTAGGTATTTGCAGTTGTCTGTGCAAATGTAACAGGGTCATACTCCTGCTACTACAATCAGCAGAAATGATGCTAATGAAACAAGTGTCTGAAAAATAAATAAGGGCTCAACTTTATTATCAGCAAGAAGCTAAAGGTCAGTTTCAGACCTTTATCAATGTACTTATTTTTTTAAATGGCTTTTTTTAATTTACTGTACAGACCTTGCATTTTTGGCCATGGAATCAACTTAGTAAGACTTTGGCACAGATTTATTCCATAAATAAACTCCATTGTTAAATTTAAAAGTCCTATTAGATAAGCAGTAAAATAACATTTTTATAAAGGTGTTGTCTAGATTGGGCTACAAGATGAGTTTCCCCTTATTAACTTGCTTCAAATAATATTCTGTTTCTTCTCTTTACTGATTTCTGACTTACCATTGTCGGAGATATCTAAGCTGGTGATGTTGTGAATTTCGGCAATGCAGCCTTCCAACACTTGTGCGCCTCCCGATCTCAGCTAGAGAAACATAAACCAAACACAAGGTACAGGTGTCACCTTATGTAGCTAAAACATTAAAAACAGGTGATAGATATAGTCTTAAACTAGGTACCAAAGGAAAAGCGAAAACTTAACAACTCCAAAAAAGCTATCACCAGTTACAAAGAGCCAATCACTCGTCATTGCTGCTGTTTGCCATACCACATCAACCTAAAAATCATTAGAAAAAGAAACAGAATGAAGATGGAGACAACCCAGGGTCACCATCGGCAAGACTGTCTATCAACGCGCAAGAACGTTCTTCATTGGGACATCTAACAAATCCTTTTTATACATGAGAAAATGTTACTACTTTATTTGATTATTACAGATTTCAAGAAAAAACTCTCCACCAGGCAGCATCAAAACAAGCAAAGGAGACAGGAAAGACTAACTCTGAATGTCAATCAATCCAGGAAGGACCCATCCCTAACTGTTCTACAGAAATGGTGTGAGGGCTCACAATTATAAAGCAGGGAGTAAACAGTTGAAGGTGGTTACAAAATGATTTGCACAAATGCACTGAGCCACAGAAGAAAAAGATGTTAGATTAATCTGAAATATTAGTATTATGGTTGGCTTATAGCAATATTAAGAGTTGTTCATCTCATCTCATTACCTAATTTATACCAAAAGAAAGACAAACTATATAAACTCATTACTTTTCATCTTTTTCGATGAAACTAAAATCATATTTTACAGAGGTCAGAATCTTTTTATTTTCCATTCAGCAACTATTTGAGTTCCTACTATGTGTACAGCATTGTGCAGAATGCAAGGTTTCCTGATCTATGGCCCCTTTGCTCAGCAAAATTACTATCTAATAGGAGAAAAGAAATTATCATTTACTGGGATTCTATTTTATACTAAGGAACATGGTAGCTTTTCTCTATTCACTTAAGAAAATTAAAATTTATATAAACTTCTATACGAAATTGATACTACATGGTGCTATTTTCCACTTGCTCAAGTTTTGATGTAATAATTTAAAGAATCTTTAATTCACTATTTTAGATACAATGTTTTTATGGTACTCCCAACCAAAAACTACCAGTTCTCTGGCTGCTGGTATGTTAAGCAGAATTATGCACAGATCTTTGGGATCGCCCTTTATTTAGGAGTATGTCAGTTGATACATTAAATTCAACCTATCCTACTTTTTGAGGCGACAGATTACTCCAAAGGGCCTGAAGTGAACTCAGAGGCAGACCTCCCCTGGAAGCTGGTCTACACACATCAGGGGAACCAAAACTCCTCCCACTCCGCAGCTGAAGGGCCCTAACTGTGGCCAAGAGTGAGCAGGCCCATCGCACTACACTTAGCTGTTTTCCAGGAGTGCTCAGGCTTACCCAAATGCCCTCTCAAGCCCATCTTATCACACCACTGCACACTGTCCCCAGCACTGTGCTGCTCAAAGTGTGGTCCTTGGACTAGTGGCAGTCTACAGTTTGTTACTGGTCTCAGATAAACTAAGTACAGAAATTGACTATAAATATTTTAGAAACCTTAGTAATAATAATTTCAGGTCTGTTACACTTAATAAAAATTAAGAGCTTGTATTTTCTATATCTTAAATCTTTCTAATAATTAATTTTTATTACATTTTTGCAAACTTAAAAAACTTAAAAAAAGAAAACAGGTTATTCACCACGAGTTATGAGAAGCACTGTTCCAGGTCACAGTTTGTTAATAGTTAAAGAAATGAATGTATATAAAGACTGTGTCAAAGGTAAAGCAAGAAATAATTTAGGCAAATGCTTCAAAGAAACATAATTTGATTTTCTGAGCATGAAAAACAAATTGTACTTTTGAGAAGATAAACATAAGTGCATAAAGTCTTTATGATTTCATTACTTGCTGTTGGCAATTTCTCTGTGAGAAGTAAAATTTCTACAAGAAAATTTCTCTATTATTATAAAATACAGTAATATGTCCCATTTATAGATAATGGAAAATATGATTATTACAGATTTCAAAGTGACATTTAAGTGCTCAAATCTGTTTTTTATAAAAACTTTTGACTGATAGTACAATATTTGTAGCACATACTCATAAAACTAACATTTCTCAATTGTTAAAAAATAAAGTAAATTAATAATGTGCTAATTTTATCAATTCATATAGTACTTACACAATGGCCAAGCTAAGGAAAGCCCAAGGAGAAAAAACAAAAAATGTTATGGGCAGTAAGTAGAGTAAGAATAGAGAAGCTAAAGTCTATCAATACACATTATAAAACAGCAAAGAATCAGAGAAAATACTTCCAACTAAATTTGCCCCCCACCAAAAAATCAAAAATTTAAATAAGATACTAATCTTCAGTTTCCAAGAACGTTTCATTGAATCAAAGGTTATATGATGTCTAAAATTCCCCCAAACACAAAGCTTTACCCGAGCAGTAAAAGCTTTTCCATTAGTGTAAATAAAAATTCCTTTTAAATGAATTTGTATAATTAAAGGCTGTGTCTGCATGTGTTCATGTAAAACTGGTTTTTAAATTACCATCATTTGGATCCCACACACCAGCATTGTTTAAAGGAAAGCAAGCTCAGAGAGAAGTAAATGTGACTGAATCACTAAAGACATTATGAAATGTTAAAAATAAAATCACATTTCTTTCAAGAGAAAAGTGTCCTCTCACTCAAGGAAGGTGGAATATTCCAGATGTTACTTATAGTTCTAAGTGAATAGTTATATTTAATACTCACATATGCATAATGTGGAAAGGAAAGCAAATACATTAAAATCTAGAGAGAACTTTTAATAATTCATTTTCCTTCCTTAAGAACACTTGTCATTTAAAAAGATGTGGCAAATATCACAAATTTAAATATAAAATTATCACTTTTCTTCTATAGGAGTTCCAATTTTAATTTAAAAATAATAATTTTTATCATGGGAAATTTTCTCACATAGGTTTCTCCAAGGACAAAATATGGTTTGACAAGATCGAGTTGAAAATGTCTTCTTAACACAGGGTTTGATGCCAAAAAGCAATTTAGAACCTAAGAAAGGTATATATACATACAGTCACTCCCGAGGTGACAGTTGCATGTATCACACTGATTCACATATGCCTCCTGTGGTGAAGCATTTTCTGTTTTTCATTCCTTTTCTATCCTAATAGGAAAGTGATACGTAAAGGTAATAGCACTAATGCTAAACCTGCCTTCACACCTCAAAGCCTGGTTGAATGACTATCAAATCGAATGGAATTGCTTCAAAAATTTCTGTTCACTTGCTGCAATGTACTACGCATTACAAATTTTAGTATCTGGTGCTCTTTCACCTACTTATCAGTAAAGCACCTTGCAATAAATCATGGATAATGTGCAGACAAGTTTCCCCTTAAGAAAATAAACTTCCACATCAGACCTGCAGCCAATCCTTAGCTATAATTAGCCTTTCCATTTTCTCTGAAGCACCAGAGATTTTCCTGACACTTCTCTATTATTCTCTTGAAGTAAGACTAGTAAGATTTTTAAAAATGGGCCAGAACCCATAGACCCATTGCCTCCTTTCAGGTAGATGAGTCCATGGAGAGAATATCTATTAAAAAAACCAATATCAGTACTAACATGTAAAACAGCTTTGAAACTCTTCTTTCAAAATAACCTTGAGGGCAATGAAATACACACATTTCTTTGAACATCTGCACAGATGCTAATTCCTCACTCTTTGAAAGTGAATTAGGACCAGCTAGAGGCCACTCAGAGGCAGGTCTGGCTGAAGAGGGTAATGCTGTTTTGTGTCAAAAGTCAGCTGTGACTATAGATTGAAGAGCAAATTCTTAAAAGGTTTAAAATTAGCTTTGAAGACAATCCTCAAAAAAAGTTTTTGTAAAGACAGAATATTTTAAAGCTTCTAAATACATTTTTAAGAAAGGCAATACTGACCTATGCTGCAATGTCTTACATTAAAAATAAGGCTCCTGTAGTCATCTTTCTCCTCCCCCTATTATGGTTCACATATGCCAGGCTCAGTGTTGTGCCCAGTACCATCCCCACAAACTAGTCTCGCCCCCACTCCACAGGTGAGAAACGAAGAATGAAAAAAGGTAAGTCACTTGGCAAGCCAAGTGGCTAGGCCAGGTGTCAAAAGGGGTCTTTCTGATTCCAAAGTGTCCGTCCTTTGCTATGATACTCTTTTGTCTCCCAGGAATACTCTGAGCTATCTTCTTATAGAAAAGAAATTACTTGAAAGTCCTAGCTACGGCAATTAGACCAGAAAAAGAAAAGTTATTTAAGTTGGAAAGGAAGAGGTAAAACTGTCATTATTTGCAGATGACATAATACTATACACCGTGAACCCTAAATAGTCCACCAAAAACTATTAGAACTGATAAATTAATTCAGTAAAGTAGCAGAATACAAAATTAACATTGAGAAATAGGTTGCATTTCTATACATCAGTAACAAACTATCAGAAAGGGAAATTAAGAAAACAATCCCATTTACAATTGCATAAAAAAAAAAACAAACCTAGCAATAAATTTAATCAAGGAGGCCAAAGACCTGTACTCAGAAAATTATAAGACTTTGAAAAAAGAAACTGAAGAAGATACAAATAAATAGAAGCATATATCGTGCTCATGGATAGAAAGAACTAACATCGTTAAAATGTTCATGCTATCCGAAGCAATCTACAAATTCAATACAATTCCTATCAAAACACCAATGGCATTTTTCACAGAACTAGAACAAATCTCCTAAAATTTATATGGAACTACAAAAGACCCCAAATAGCCACAGCAATCTTGAGAAAGAAGAACAGAGTTGGAGGTATCGAACCTGATATCAGACTATACTACAAGGTTACAGTAATGAAAACAGCATAGTATAGGCAGTAAACTCTCTGATGTTGCTCTTGGTAACATTTTTTTCTGATATAACTCCTCGGGCAAGGAAAACGAAAGACGAAATAAACAGTGGGATTACATCAAACTAAAAAGGTTCTGCACAGCAAAGGAAACCATTAAGAAAACAAAAAGACAACCTATTGAATGGAAAATATTCGCCAATGATTCCAATAAGGGGTTTTTATAAAGAACTCATACAATTAAATACCAAAAATACAATCCAAATAAAAAATGGGTAGAAGATCTCAATAGACATTTCTCCAAAGAGAACATACAGATGGCCAATAAATACATTAAAAGATGCTCGATGTCACTAATCATCAGAGAAATTAAAACCAGAATGAGATATCACCTCATACCTGTCAGAATGGCTATCATCAGTAAATCAACAAACAGTGTTGGCGAGGATGTGGAGAAAAGGGAACCCAGGTGTACGCTTTGTGGGATTGCAAATTGGTGCAGCCACTGTGAAAAACAGTATGGAGGTTCCTCAAAAAAATTAAAAATAGAGCTGTCTTATGACCTAGCAATTCCACTTTTGGATATTTATCTGAAGAAACCCAAATCACTAATTCGAAAATATATATATGCATCCCTATGTTCATTGTAGCATTACTTAAATAGCCAAGATACGGAAGCAACCTAAGTACCCATCAATAGATGACTGGATATAGAAGTGGTACATATATATAATGGAATATAACTTGGCCATTAAAAAGAATAAAATCTTACCATGTGCAATAACATGGATGGACCTAGAGGATATTATGCTACGTGAAATAAGCCAGACAGAGAAAGATATATATGATTTCACTTATATGTGGAATCTAAAGAACTAAATAAGCAAATAAACAAAACAAATAATCTCATAGATATAGAGAACAAACTGGTGATTGCCAGATGGGAGGAGGGGTTGAGGGGCTGGGTAAAAAAGGTAAAGGGATTAAAAAGAACAAACCGGCAGTTACAAAACAGTCAACTGAATGTAAAGTACAGCATAAGGAATACAATCAATAATATTGTAATAACTATGTATCATGTCAGGGGTATACTAGACTTATCAGGGGAATCACTTTGTAAATTACGTAAATGTCTAACCACTATGCTGTACACCTGAAACTAATATAAAATAATATTGAATGTCAATTGTAATAAAAAAAATTAAATATTGGTGCTAAAAGACCAAGGAAAAAGAGAAGTGATAACATAATTAATATGAAACCTCTTAGGGAACAAAGAAGTTTTTTCTCTAAATATAGAACTTATCTGTAAATAAAAAGTTAATATCAGTGCTTGTTAGATTAGCCCTCAAAGATCCAAAAGAATACAGCCCAAAATTTGGGATTTAAGTTTCCAAATAACAATAGTGTTTGTGCTGTAGAAAAGTAACTCTGTAATTTCTAAATAACTGCATGATACTTTTTAAAAACAGCATAAAGTATAAATCTCTCTCATTCAAATTAATAAATGTAAAACGCCTCTTTCAGGGGAATACAGAAATACTCCAAAATACTACGAGGACGACTCATGAGGAAAGGTGAGAATGAATAGCAATGGAACCAGCATATGCTAAAATCAAAAATAATTTGTTTAAGCAAAGTTATTCTAAGCTTCCTATCTACATACTTTTAATTTCTATTTAAGGCTACTTTCCTCTCTCTTTCCCAATAAACTCACCCACCATCTCAGATGATAGTCATTTACTTTCTATGACACCCATATAACCTCACTTTAAAATTAATCAACAGACAATAGCTTCTTTAAAATAAACTAATTATCTCTTTATAAATATAAAAAGACTTTAAGGTATTTCATATTTGTTCTTTGCGCCATGGCTTGGGTAGACTGTTGTACTAGAGGCACCTGTAGGAGGCACTGAACTTGCATGGCACCCACAGCAGAAGCAGCCAAGATTATGCCTCAGACATTAAACTCTTTTCAAGTATGTCAGCCCCTCATCTGTAGTAAGTCAACCCTGTGGAAATGACTTCCCAAGATGACTAGGTTGTCAGGGAGAAGTTTCATTCACTGCCACCACAGATGAAGAATTTATCTGATCATGAGAGAAAGTTAAGTGCTGAATTCCCTCATGATTTTGACTGGCATGCTAAGAGTAGAGAGGACTGGGTATACTGTGACTAAATAGAGAATGAATGGGAAAAAAAAAGACACATGTGTAATTTGAAACTTCCAAATTAGTGAAAGCTTTTTTCCTGAGAGCATTATCTAAACTCTGAAGTACCAAATGATTAAACAGTAGCAGTTAATACTCAAAGTGCCAAGCATTCTACATGGATAATATCGTAGGCCCAAATACCTTTCAAGAAAAAGGTGTATTATATCACAGAGATGAATAAAGTGAAACTCTGTTAAATTTGGACATCTATCCCTAAGGAAAAAAAGGTGATGAGACATGTTAGTTTAGAAAAATAATTTTGTGTTTCACTAATTTTCATGAGCAGCAATATAACGTATAACTTTATAAAAGTGGTCACCAGTATTGTGAGTCCAGCTATAAGATAGTAGAAGAACACAGTACTAAGATAGTTTTAAAGGTTCCCCATCGGCAGTATTACTTTGTCCTACACTCTACAAATGAAAGGCCAATATGAAGTTGGAATTATGAGCATAGTAATGGTCAGTCCTACCATCACAGAGCAATTGTTTGATCTGGATTCCTCCTTTAAAAGAAAAATTTATAAAAGAAAAAGTCTACTACCTACTGGCATATGGAATTGCCAACAGTCTGCCATTTTTGACCTATAAAAATGTGGATTTTATATAGCTTACTTAATATAACGTTGTCTTTGAAAGTATTCCCAATAGGATGCCAAAGGACTTTAAAAAAACAAGCTATATAGTAATAAACACAGTGTTCTTTGGGCATATGGCCTTTATCAACTTATTTAAGAGACTATCTAATCAGATTTAATATTCTAACAATTATCAATATTATTATTAACAACAATTAGGAGGGTGTACTTTCATTATGGCTTTGCCTCTAGGGAGCATGATTATTTCAGCTTCTTTAGAACTCAGTTTCTCATCTTTACATGTGGGAACCAGATGAACACCACTATCTACTTCAGTTTTGATCACAGAACTAAATTAAAGATGTTATACTGGTAGTAGTTCTAATATTTAATCAGGAGAGTAAAACCACATATAGGTCATTGTTAATTAGTAGTTTGATCTGATAGAGCAATCAAGTTTATACCAATTTGGTTTTTTTTTTTTTTTTTTGATGGAATAACCCTTCCCATCTCCATTCTTAACCCTCTCCCCATAAAAAGCTTTTGTTATTGGCATTACCCTTAATAAACTGCTGGTAAACTAATAATTCATATTACCAGTTGGTTTCTGTTTGATGGTCCTTTTTTAATCAATAAAAAAGTATTGATTTTCACACAAAAATTTTACAATGCAGGAGTTTTTTCCCTAACAAAATGACTAGTGGTGTTCACCCTAGTCGAAATTTCTAAAAAAGTATTCTCACACAGGTGGTGTTCACCCTAGTCGAAATTTCTAAAAAAGTATTCTCCACTAACAATTTGTATGGTATGATTTCAGACTTGTCAGTTACCAGTATTTTCAGAGAGGTAAAGCATTAATCTTCAATACAGAGTGTTGGCCTGGTGCTTAGCATTTTGTTAGGAGGTAAGAGAAACACAAAAAAGTAAGACAAAAATACTGTCCTCCAGAAAGCTATGACCTAGCTGGGAAAGCCTACAGGAGCCAATTTAATAACTGTGCAAGGCACTCAGTCGTCAGCGTCCAAATGCATGTCACCATCATTAAGGATTAAGCAACCAGAAAAGAACAAGGTCACAAAGGGCTGATGCAGTCAGAAAAGAAATCTGAGCAACAGACATGTAAACAAGAGCAAACAATCTTATTTGTCCCAGATACTCTATGAAGCACTTTTCAAAGACCAATTACTTTAAACCTCCTAACAACTCACAGGGAGAGGCACTATCGTCTCTATTTTGCAGATACAGAAATTAAGTGATATCAGCTAATTCATCCAGGACTGCACAGCTAGTAAGGGCCAAACCTGGATCAAACCCTAGAGTCTGATGATGCAGGTGTGAAGGAAACTGGACTTGAGTTAGATCCTTGAAGGGAGGGAGGCCTTGGGAAGTGGAGGGGTGTTCTGAGAGGGCCCGGGAAGGGAGGACGGCAGGCATAAAGGCCCAGGAACAGGAATGAAAGACTTCCACTGCTTGCCCCGAAAAGAGACCAAGTGCGACATGCTGGGTAGAGTCAGGCTCTGAAGAGGCCAGTGAATGTACCCAGGAAATTTCTTACTAATCTCCGCACAAACTAAAAGTGTCAAGATAGTAAAATTCAGGTCCCTCTAAAATGTAGAGGCTTTTAGTCTCAATTCTTCTCTATGAGTTCTTTGACAGGAAGTGTTTGGAATTGCTACGATTTTAAGAAGCATCTTAATTTTCCTGTTTTAAATCAAGGTAATAAAAAATAAAATTAATGACATGATCATTATTCTCTTTCATACCTGAAGTTAGGTTATACACATTTCCCCCCTGCAAGGAATGCTGTACGTTACACTTTTCATGATAATGGCTTTACATCTCAAGGCTTCATCATGAAATACTTAAGAAACTGGCACCAAGAATGAGGATTTTAAAACAAAAGTCATTAAAAACACACTTGAATGCTTTCTGAATGGGGATCCTGTAGCTGTTTATAAATAAAACTTGCAAAATACAGAACATTAGAAACTTCTATAATATGTTTTCCTGCTTAATTTACATCCTCTGAAATCACAGTATCACATTTTTTCCAGGAAAAAGACAAAGCGATGCTGAGGCTGTTATCTCTTCCAGTGTTTAGTGTCCAGGCATTCTTACCTCACAGTTGCTGAGATCGAGAGAAACCCCCTTCAAGTTATGGTTACTGGCCAGGCCCAGTAGCAGTGCCCTGAGCGAAGAAACACACACATGAGATACAGATCCCATACATTCGACTAAAATAAAACCCACAGAATAAGAATGCCTTTTCTGAATCACAGGTCAAGCACCAAGCACTACTTCACTTTTTAAAATGCCAACTGCATTTCTGTCTTCCGACAGCAGTGTAAAAATGATGCTGCAATATTCTTCCGTTTGACACGGGGCAGGTCCATCATAAATGCAAAACCTGACAGGACTGCTATTCCTGGGCAGATAAACCACAGTCCCCTAACTGAACATTGAAGTTAAATTGTGCTCATCATAGGTAAATTCCCATCTGCGTCTACTTGAGGACAGTTCTAATAATGTTTAGTATATTTTTAGGCGATCGTTATTAGAGTAGCCAAGTGAAGCTGGTTTTTCCTAAGGAGTGTACTAGCGAGGAAGTCAGGCTCTGGAGCATGCCAGGATGTGACCTTAGGTCTAGACAGGTTTATTAAAAGACCTACAGAGGTGGTATGGCTAGGGGTGGAACAGCACTAGGGAGAAGGCACAAGTCTCTAGTTTGAGCCTGAGGACGGGATCCTGCGAGCCTGTCTGGCAGTTGGTCACAGGCAACTACATCTCCACTCTGGAAAAGACTTTTGTCATCTGCATGTTGAAGAGACTGGACTAACCATGTGGGTCCCCTCTCTCTCTGAGAATGAATGGATTCCACTTCCGTCAGTCCTACAGAATCCAACACCAATGAGAAAGCTTGAAAAAATTCCACACCTGCACACACATCCATTAAATACCACTGCAGGGAAAAGAGGATCTCAGCTGGGCCCTGTGAGGAATACAGATGAGCAAGAGAGGGCTCCACCCTCAAGCAAGGGGAACAAATGTGTGCAAGTAACTGTGACAGGGGACAGGCGGTAGTAAGTCCCAGAGAGTGGAACGAAGGCATTTCCTACCTTGGAGTGACCACCTGTTCTCAATCTTTTGTGGGAAAGACCTCCAGCCAGCATGCTCCAAAAGCCCCAGGGCGAGGCTGAGGGAGAGGTGGAGGTAGAGTATCTGATGCCAGTTCCGAGGTTTCCCCCTTCCACTAATTCCCTGGCTCCTTCCACTGAAAGGAACCCCGCAGTAGGCACAGAGCACAAGAGCCTGGCTGCTTCCCACTACAAAAACCCCAGCTGGTCAGGAGGCTGGAGGGAGAGCTTGTCTATTTCCTGAATGCAGTTCACTAGGCCTCTAATCTAACACTGTCCTATGAGAGAGGCTGGGTGCATCTCATTTGTGTGCATGCTTCGGCTCAATTTCTTGTGACAGTGTTCCTCTTTTCCCAAAAAGTGGTTTTTTCCCCCTTTCTTTTTTGGGGGCCGTATTGACCGCCATCTCAAAGTTCACTTCCCAGGAACCCAACCTGCTACCACAGGGAGTTTGGACAAAGTATTCGGCTTCTCTGAGCCTCAATTTCCTCAACTGTAAATAGGAATAATGATGCTCTCCTTCAACTGTTGTCAACACTAATGGTGACAGTCCACACGTAAGTGCCCAGTGTCCAGCTTAGGGTCATGCTTTGAAATTCACTTCAATCCCACCCTTCACAGGTCAACCTAAGCACCTCAGTTTGTTATATCTTTTCAAATTATAACATGACATTAAATGTATGTAACTGAAGGTTGTTTACAGAATCTTCAATAAGGAAGCCTTTTTTCTCACATTAAAATTTTTACTGAGTAAAATATAGATCTGAAGAGACTACTGATTTAACATAATTAAACATTCCCACAAATGACCACAGGTCATAAGATTTAACAATTACAGAACAACTTTGAAGTGTAATATTTACAAATCTATATCTATAATACAGTTAATCCGGTGTTGTTGTGGTGTGGAATTCACTTACAATCAATTATGCTAATCGAGGAAGAACTACTCTATATTTTAAGAGAATCAACAACACTGAAAGAATCAGAACACATATACCTTAACACTAAAACCACTGTGAAGATGCCAACCTCTCTAATATACTATAAGAGCAAGGATCGAGTCTGGTTTTGCTTTCTACTTAGTGCCCTTCCGGTATCAAGCACACTGTAAATGATCAATAAATATTAGCTGAATGGATGAATAATTAATGAGTGTGATTGATTACATTATAATGGGTCCCCCCCTTCAGAATATTGATTCTGATAGCTTTATTAATATCCATGCAAACAGCCTAATCGTGAGGCGTTTACTATTTGCAGCTGTTACACTGGGAAACCACTAATATATTAATTTAGTGTTTAAAAAGAAAAGGCCAGCTATAACATCAGGTTGTTTTTTAGCACCTGACTGGATCTACTGTTCTTAAAGACATCTATTGTTTTAGTCATACGGAATACTATAATCAAGATCTTATACCTCTCGAAAAGAAAAAAGGCAACTTACAAATTAGATGAAGATTAATTCTAGTAATATGAATAGCAGACATTGACGTTAACATTTCATACAAATTCCAAGAGAAAAATTAAGTGCTGGTTTACATGGCAGCTGAGGAACACCTGAACATTTGAAAATATCTGACAATGTACATATTCACACGTACTTGAAAATATGTTCTTTATCCTCAGAGAATTTCATCCTATAGTTCTTTTGATTATTTCTGGGAATGATGAACAGAAATTTCAAGGATGATAAATTACGTCCAAACCTTAACTTAGTTAAAAAGTTTAACTTCACCACTACACCTACACTAGAGATATTAATCCATAATATGAGTTGGTTGCCAAGTAAAAAACACCAAAAGATAGCCTATATTGACCTAGGTAATTCAGAAACCAAAGCACCTAAAAATTCTGTTGTACACATGTGTGTGTAGTTTTAATTATTACTGTTAGTATAACAGAATAAACATTGATTAAAAAAGAGACACACAAGACTATCTATACCTAAAATGGACTAAACAGAGGTTAATATAAAAGCAGTAGTACTTGGGCGCACAACTGTTATACAAAATCAGTGACTAATGCCAAGGTCACAAACCAAAGAAAGATTTCTTTTTTCGTATAAGATGCAATAATATCAATAGTGCACAACGTAATCACAAAGAATTTGACTTCCTTTTGTGTCCCAAAGTAAAAAGACATTTTCATCTGCCTTGTCTGTCTTAGGATTATACGTCTTTTCCTTCCCTCGAGCACATTCATAATAACAAGTTGAACTCTAAGAACTGTGAAGAAAATGAATTTACTACTCACTTCAAGGGCTCAGGGGACAGTTTTGTGCCTGAAAGGTTGATCTGCATCAGAGCCAGAGAACTACTAAAAAACTGCTTGAAAGTCAGGGGTACTTCTTTTCCTTTCCTGAAAAACAAAACACAAGTGTCAGCCTGACAGTTACACTTCCATCTCAGCACCTGACTTCCAAACTGGCAAAACTGTTCCATTGGTTATTCCGGCACTGTGAAATAATCCGTGAATCAGTTACGTCTTCAGTAGAAAGTTAAAGGTAAAAAGAAACAAAATGTCTAAAAGCTAAATAAACTAATCCAATACAATTAAAGGAATGATGTAAGAAAAGTTAAGACATCATATTAAGTCCTTAAAACAATTTATTCCTTTTCTTTTTAGCCAATGAACTCATTGTACTGTGTTTTACCTATAGAACTTCACAAAACTCCATGTTTGGGTTTTTAAGGAATAAGATGTCAATGAAAATGTTTCTCAACAATCTAATGAGTTTTCCCACTGGATAACACTGAATGTTAAAAATCACCACCTACATTTGGAAATAATTTTAGATGCAATAAGACTGTGACCTGATGTTAAGCTGAGGAACAGCACAGAAAGTCTGAGTGGCATGAAGCCTGCATGGCAAATTTCCTGCTCAGTTCTTATATCTCTATCACGAATCTAGTAATTTCAGGACAAATATTAAAATAGTTAAAGAAAAAACTCCAAAAAGCAATGGCTATAACCTCCAAATAATGTCCCTTCTATTACAGTGGGAAGAAAGTGGACCAAATCACACAGCTCAGCTAGAAAGCAGAGTCGACACCACTGTGAAAATTCAAGAAAAATAAGATCCCAGAATCAAAGCTGGAAGGTGAGCACTTTGCCTGTTTTGTTCTGATAGAATTGGTGGGAAAATTGAATAAGTCCCTGTGTAAGGCACTTAGCCTGATCCACAGTAGATGTCCATTTAATGATGGTTACTCATCTTCTATGGAAGGATTCACAGAATCTCAGGGCAGAGGCCATCCTAGTGGTCTAGCTCAACCAAATAAAATTCATCAATATTTAACACACAGAGGTCCCAGAAAACCTGTCAATATTTGAAAAAGATTTTAAAACAAGGCAATTTCATGCTATTTGAGAAGAAATACCTAAGCAACCAGCATGTCTATCTAAGAAGATGAAAAATAAACATAAGAGGAAGTAATTCTGGTAGAATGTATATTAGACATTTCCAACAACTCTGGTTCTAGATCTTGAAACAAAATGTTTGTAATCTCCCATTCGTTTTTCGATGAGCAAATGTGGTTAAATTTTTTTTTAATACAGCTCTCCTCTGACTACTCTGTTTTGGTGTCGACTGTTCAAAGTTTCCAAATATTCACTGTCCCTTTCTGAGAGACGAGGATGCTCATCACCCTGCTGACAGCAGGCATGTGCACGTTGAGTCCGAGGCCAACGGGCCATCAGACACAGCAGAAGTGATGTGTGTAACTTCCAGAGAGAGCCTTTACCAGCTAGTACGTGCAAGGCCACGATTCTTCTTCCTCTGCTACACAACTGTCAGTGTTCTAGATAGAGGCCTCTCAGCCTCTCAGAGTGAAGGTCATGTGGACAGCCCATGAGGGACATGTCACAAAACTACCGTTGCTGAAAGCCATGGAAATGGGGCTGGGCTGAGCTGGGAGGCTCATTTGTTACTGTAGAACAACCTCATCTATCCTGAGTGATGCTCTTATGAAATTATCTGTGAACAAAAGTGTGAATAGCCCAGCTGACAGTCCGTAATTCACTGTAAATGCAGCAATTTCAAGATAATTACTAAGGGATTTCTATGATTATGTCTAGGTAAGGTACTGGGTACTAAATAGTTTAATCACAACCTTTCATTTGTAAGACAAGGCAATTTGTTAGCACAATTCTGCTCTACAAGTTTAATAGCTCTACCGAACACCAGTCATTACAGAATTCACAGTATTGTGAACTCAAAAGAACTAATTTTATGGAAAATCTTTATAGTCTATGATATCGCCTTCTAATTCAGTTCCTCAGTCAATCACAGCTCCACCTGGGCGTGACTTCGTAAGCTGCCTTCGAATGTATGAATTAACTGGTTGATCTCAAGCCCTCAAAACAAAGTATAAGAAAATTCTCAACTCTGATATTATTTTATTGAGGTATTTGTGGCACATTCTTGCTATTGTAAACATTTACATCACTCTTGAAGTAATGGTCCAGCAGTACTTTAAAACACAATAATTAACTGTGAGGCACAACTGCTGAAGAAAGTACGCTGGATAACTAAGTTTTCCACATAAGTGAGGGTTATTCCTTTGAAAATAAAAGCTTTTAAAAAGTTAACTAGCAAAAATGGAGGTATCTCTAATATTAAGCAACTCTCCATGTTATTAAAAGTTTATGACATGTGGTCATAATGATGAGTGTTAAGTACTGAACTGGCCCAGGATCCCATATTATATAACCCACGTACTTTTCATAGTTCTTTATCCTTTCTCCAGTCTAAATTGCTGCTGTATGTGAATATTTGCTGTTTCTAATTTTATGCCCTATTTTGCAAACAATTCTAGGTCAAGATGATAGAAGAGAGGTACTCAACTCTACAGGTTAAAATGCATGAGTTTTGGGATGAGTATTTTCTTTGTTCCCCACAGGTAGTTTATATTTACTTCCAAGTTCATCATTAAGAAATATCTGTAGAAATTTCTAAAAAAGTCTTTACTATATTGAGAGAGTACCTGTCCACATATGAGAAATAGTGCATTTTATAGAGTTCACATAAACAGGATGGAATTATTGATAAGAACATCAAACTGTGGTAAAAAAAAAGATACAACAAAAACTTGAACTTTCCAGGCATAGTATTCATAGATAATAGTTTAAAGCCATCTTCTTCCATGTACAACATTCACTCATTCATCCTTTATCATTCTGTTTTCATATCGCTACAACTTTTTCTGAGAGAAAGACATTCCTAGATAATAATGATAGCAGGACTAAATTCATACCGGTAAGAAAAGACGGTTCTGGAGAGATTGAGCACAGCTAGATGTTGAAGGCATCCACGGAGAAGAGCGCCACAGACCTAGAAAGAAATAAGGCACTCTTATTTTCACATATTTCTAGGTCTAAGAGAATATTTTATTTGGGAGAAAGCCTTTGAATCCCATCTAAATGGCTGTTCTGAGACCCCCCAGAGCAATATAAAAACATTACCACGTCCAGGGAACATTCTGTGTTGGATAAATCCAGATGAGCAATGGCATTTGGCTGGGCCAAAAAACTGTACATGTACTTAAGATAAAAATAAAAACAAATATGTTAGGCTAAAGAAATACATACACACAGTGCAAGTTAATATTTCAAAATAAAGTTGCCTAAATCCTTCCAGAATCATTCTCTACTCTTACCAAGAGGATTAGCAGAATTTTATGTCATTACCTTTCTTGAGCAGAAAAGATCCAAAGAATATTTAAAAGAAAATCATGTTTACATTAAAAAAAAAAAAAGGCCAAATGAAATCATGGCTGCCAAAATGTCTTTCTGTTACACATGACTTAGTTTTCCTGATAAGCTCCGTTTTTATAATTTTGGAACAGTGCTAATTAATTTTAACCGCTGAGATTGAAATACCACCTCAATGGCAGTCACCCTATCAAAATGCTAATCACTTTTGAAAGTGTTCAAGGCGCCACTAATTGGAATTTGAACCATAGGATGGTCTCAGGCTATTTATATACTCTCTCCTGTCCAACACAGTGATTTTTCTATCCTTAGTTACTTCCAAAATCTAACAAGAAAAGGCCTGTCAGTACTATTAGTTAGGTTTTGGTTGTTTTAATCTCACATATAGCTAAAACACTTCAGGTTTCAAGGAGGCACAATACCTAAATTCTCCCCTTATCTTTGTGCTAGGTCATCAAAACAGTAAAATTAACAGCTCTTTGTTATTTTCTAATTGCTCTGTCTGAGTAGCAACTGCCAGAGTCCACCAGTACCACACTGAGTACAAGCTCCTGCCACCAAATAAATAGATAAATTATCCTTTGCTTCACTGCATGCCACCAGATACTTGCAGAAACAAAAACGCTTACACTGAGATGTCCTGTAAGTGTAGCGGCTTAGCTGTATGATGTTGGAAAAAAATCCTCTCTACCAAGGAAGTCAGAAGAGCAAAAGATTAGCCTGGAAATACTTTAGAATAACCAGACACATGGAATAGTGTCTTATGAAAAGTTCTGACTCAGAAAATATAATTTTGCTCTCATTTACATAAAGATCTCTGCATCTGTCTTTGCCTGGCACTGTGGCTTTACACCAGGCCACCAGGTCTCATCACCCTCAAGACCATACTTGGCGGACACTTCTGGGAATAGGCAGACCCTTCGAGGATGCTCTTTCTGAAGGCTCAGGGCCAGGTGAGCCCCTGGTGCACGGCAGCCTGTCTGGGGCCGGAGCCCACCCTCCCCAGAGGAAGTTGGAACAAGGCTCACTCCTGGCCCGTATTTTAGCAGTCTTATTATTTCATCTCTATGCTCCTCTTTCATCCCTCTCTCGGTTCCTCTAGTTTGTCACTGTAATGTTTGGGTGGTTTCATACTGGACTTCTTTCATCTTGGGAGGGAGCAGATTTATGAGTCATCAGTGAAGGTGACAACTACAATTGGACAATGCATTAAAGTCATGGCAAAACAGGAAACAAATATTATTTAAATGATTTCAAGTGGAAGGGAGAAGGAAAAACTACAGAAAGGACTGTGGCAACATTTCCTGCCTTACAGGGCAAGTAAAACATTAGAGAAATGAAAATAAATTTCACAGTGTTTTTCACCCCCATAAAAGAATGGAATGCAAATCAAAGTCCTTCGATGCTGCCTACTTGCTATAGGCCCTGCTGATAAGAGAGTATTTCTTCAAAATCTTATCTGATGACCAGAAGGGACCCCTCACCACACCTGGCAATGAGGTCAGACCTAACTCACTGTATCAATAAGATCTACCAAACACTTGTATTACCAATTCAGCTGCATAAAAACTCTCATTATCATTGGGGGGAAGCTTTTTCCTTCATACTCAAACTTTAAAGAACGGCCCCTACTTTACTGCTGAC